GCCACCAAGAACTTCGCACGCGCTGGGTTCGTAGATATGACCACCAGCGGGCTAAATGCGAAGATCCGAGACTTATTAAGGGCTGGTTCACGCTTGTACGGAATATACAGGCCAAGTACGGGATCCTAGATGACGATATCTATAACTTCGACGAAACTGGCTTTATGATGGGTATTATCTTCGCGGGTATGGTTGTCACGACCTCAGAAGGTCGTACCAAGGCCAGACTATCCCAGCCCGGAAATAGGGAATGGGCAACTGTTATCCAAGGCGTCAATACGCGCGGCTGGGCTATCCCTCCCTTTATCATCCTCGCGGCAAAGTATCATCTATCAACTTGGTACGAAGGGACCGACCTTCCGGCCGATTGGGTCATCGCTACGACTGATAACGGCTGGACAACTAATGAGATTGGCCTCGAGTGGATCAAGCATTTTGATTACCATACAAGCTCTCGTACGAAAGGCGTATATCGAATGCTTATCCTCGATGGCCATGAAAGTCACCATTCAACCAACTTCGAGCTATTTTGCCAGGAGAAGAAGATTATTACGGTCTGCATGCCGGCTCATTCTTCCCATATTCTTCAACCCCTCGATGTTGGCTGCTTTGGGCCACTCAAACAAGCGTACGGGCGACAAGTTAAAGATCTAATACGCGCTCATATTACGCATATCTCAAAGGTCGACTTCCTTCGCGCATTTCGTACGGCCCTCTTCCACACCTTTACCGAAAAGAACATCCAGGGAGGATTTGAAGGCACAGGGCTTGCACCGCACGACCCAGAAAGGGTTCTTTCGAAGCTTGATATGAAGCTTCGTACGCCAACTCCTCCTATAGATCTGCTTGAGACTACCCACCCTTGGATCTTCAAGACGCCGCAAAACGCGCACGAGGCTAGCGCGCAGTCGGAACATATCAAGACTCAGATCTCTATCCATCAGAATAGCTCTCCAACGCCTATGCTTGATGCCTTGGATCAACTAACGAAGGGGGCTACAGCAGTGATGCATCAGGTAGTCCTCTTACAAGCAGAGAACACGTCACTGCGTACAACAAATGAGGCATTAAGTAAGCGCCGAGGGGTCAAAAGAAGCTATCTCCAGCATAGAGGCACACTAACTATGCAAGATGGGAAAGATCTTATTGATCAAAAGAAGGTTAATGAACAGATTCAGGAAGCAAAGCGCACGAAGAGGCGCCCTCAACCACCAGGCAGTCCGAAGCCTGCACGCTGTAGTAGATGCGCCAAAGCAGGTCATAACGTGCGAAGTTGTCCAGAAGATATGTAAAGCCTTACGCTATCAATCTATTTATTGTATGCATAATTTAATTTGTTGTATTGTTCTTGATCAACCTTTTCGTACGCGATGGGTGATGGAGGTGGGCCACTCGCTTGGGTGGGCCACTCGCATGTGGTTTACGTTAGTGATTGCCCTACATGATTACCTTGCAGCCGTTGCTGTGGTTACCCTGTATTCAACACCCCTCTGTGGCTGCGGTCAATTAGAATGTTGATAAATTGCGAGCGCGGTTGTGTAGCTATAAGTCAATTTGGTCGAATCTCCACCTAGATGAACTTATGCGAATTCGGACATGGGCCACTTAGCCCAGTCTGGCGCACGAACAGATGAATCAACGGCGCAAAGCTCATAGAAGGGCCGAAGCCAGCGGCCTAGGCTCCTGAACATTCGTCTGATTAACGTTGTTGTTCCACATAGCGTTGTGATTGGCTGCGCAAAGATATGGAATGGCCTACATTCGGTTGAGACCTTCTGAGTCAACTGCAACAGAGACTGGCAAGTCTTGTGACGAACATAGGAGTGGCGAGACAGCGTATATTAGATTAGCCAAGTCCCCTGACGTGGGGCGCTATAGAGGGTGACAGCCCCATGTAGTAGTCTGTGTGTGTGTGTGTGTGCTGTTGTAGCCAGTGCAGCTTGTGGTTGAAGCTGTGAAGCGTTGGCCAGCGGTTATTTGGTTGAGCTATGATGGTATTGCAATAGAGGAAGAAGGCGCTGCTATTGCATGTGACCAAGGGACTTTGCTCTGAATCTCTCAATTCATAGTTAACAAATCCTTTATGCAATTACATGATCAGCGTGAAGAGCTTCTGTGAGTGAATGGTGACGGGGGAGGAAGGCACTGTCAGCGCATGCGGTCGAGGGTCTTTCTTCTGGACCTTTTAGTTGACAGTGTGCGAGCCCTCTATGCGGTGCACAATCAGCGCAATAGTCTCCCGAATCGCAGTGGGTTGAAATGAGTGGTGCACTGAGCCAGAGGTTACAGAAGGGTTCTCCGCTGTAGCCGAGTGTGATGTAGAAGGGCTTGATTCTGCAGGAGGGTTTAGCGATCAGTAACGAACGCTGTGCCTGTCTGAGCGCGTGCGACGCAGAAGACTGTGATTCTATATGAATGGGGGATAATGACCCTGAACCAGGAGGTAATGATCCCGAAAATGAGGGTGGTGCCCCTCAGGAAAGGAGCGTTGCCCCTGAATGAAGGTAAATCCCTGTTGTGGTGCAAACACAGATCTGTGAGCTATGAAGGGGAAATTATAGAGTGACGCCTTAGAGGGTTATGCTTTCATAATCCACTAAATGAAACACTAGACGATCCAGGTATATGTCATGGTCGAGGCCGACGTATACCGCTGTCTCATCCCGTCTACGAGAGGCCGATTGCTGTCTGGATTGATACACGCATGTCGAACGTAGCCATATGTCTCGAGTAGCCACGCCGACATAAGCCAGACGCTTTCAAGCTATGCTCGGCCTATTAGCATGACCTTGAAAAGGTCCCAATCGCTTCCAGAACTTGAGTTTCCCCAAAGGCCACTTTTCTCAAAAAAGTTATTATCAACTATCGACTTAATCAGCAAAGTAATTCCTCATCTCAAACACGTTCTGTTTCAGTCTTCGTCGTCGAGATTGAATCAAAAATGATCAAGCATCTCCCTCGCTACGAGACAGGTTGCTAGGTCGTAGACGCATATCTCTGATTAGAGATCGTAGAGTAGAGCAGCTTCGTGTTCTGGCATTTTCGGTAGTGCTTCACGCAACGCATCCCACCCGTCGTTATATCCGGATAGATAGACATTGTCTACCTTGACGGCCCTTGGTTTCCATACTCTATCCCAAAAATGGGAGGGGAAAGGTTAGTGCTCGTGCTCAAGGCGATTCCAGCCCGGCTTCAGAGCGCCGGTCTGGACAATTCGGTCCTTCTGCTCATCACATATGCTGAAAACCGCAGCTCGCAAGGACCGGTCTTCACCGAACCACCACTGCTCATGTGGCCGCCCCTCACTGAAATCCTTTGTCCGCTGTCCCTGAGAGTCTCATAGGACACTACTTTGCCAATCATGTAGCATATCTTCCCCAAGACTGTGGATAACATAGCTCATTAAATCTGCCGGAGTGGCAACCTCGATAGGATTCGGGAAAGGGCCTCCTCCAAGCGTAAGTCAAAATATACAACATGCGAGACATCACTCGCCGGACTAGCTGCTAGTCCGACTGCAGCTTCAAGCGCTAGGGAATCAAGGTCTTGTAGATTCATATAGATTTATGTCGACCCCTACAACCCACTATCCGCAAAGAAGGAAAATAAATATAACAGAGAAGAAGGGCAGCTACTACCGATAGCCCAAAGTGCCTCCACATCCTGCCCGTCACGAAGGCGGGCGCCGCAGTCTGCGCGGAGGCGGTAGCTAGGGCCTCAGCTCTCTCGGCGTATTCGTCCAGGCTAGACTCGGGCTATAGGCACGAGCTCTGGCCTCAAGTAGCAGCTGCTCGATGTCGCGATGCCCGATCTTCTGCGCCGCACAGAGCGCCGTCCCATAATCGCCGACCTGGGCCTGGAGATGCACATCGGCCCCGGCCGCTAGCAGGGTCTGTACCGTCTCTGTCGATCCTCTTGCCGCCGCCGCACAGAGTGCCGTCCCGGAGTAGCCGACCTGGACCTGGAGATTTACATCGGCCCCGGCCGCCAGCAGGGTCTGTACCGTTTCTGTGTCGCCACTCGCCGCCGCCGCACAGAGCGCCGTCCCGTAGTCGCCGACCTGGGCCTGGAGATGCACATCGGCCCCGGCCGCCAGCAGGATTCGTACTATCTTTTTCGATCCTCCCGCCGCCGCCGCACAGAGCGCCGTCCCGGAGTAGCCGACCTGGGCCTGGAGATGCACATCGGCCCCGGCCGCCAGCAGGGTCTGTACCGTCTCTGTCGATCCTCTCGCCGCCGCCGCACAGAGTGCCGTCCCGTAGTAGCCGACCTGGGCCTGGAGATGCACATCGGCCCCGGCCGCCAGCAGGGTCTGTACCGTCTCTGTCGATCCTCTTGCCGCCGCCGCACAGAGTGCCGTCCCGGAGTAGCCGACCTGGGCCTGGAGATGCACATCGGCCCCGGCCGCGATCAGGGCCTGTACCGTCTCTATCTCCCCTTCCGCCGCCGCCGCACAGAGCGCCGTCCCGTAGTGGCCGACCTGGGCCTGGAGATGCACATCGGCCCCGGCCGCCAGCAGGGTCTGTACCGTTTCTGTGTCGCCACTCCACGCCGCCGCACAGAGCGCCGTCCCGTAGTAGCCGACCTGGACCTGGGCGTTAAGATCAGTCTTGCTCCGAAGCTGCTCCGTCGCTAGCACAATCCGCGACAGATTGCTATAGCCTCCGAAAGACAAGATATAGAGAAGGTCTGCATCCACGTTCTCCCTCGTCTCATAGTCGCCCGCAGTAGCCCGGACGAACCCCACCCACCATTCGAGCCCCGTCGCCTGCTTCTCGAGCCATGAGACCAATGCCTCTTGCAAATCCGCTCTGGCCGCCAGCCCCGCGTCTCCTGCACCTCCTATATTGATAGGACGTGCCACTGCCTTGTCCGCATGGGCAAAGATATAACGGGTGGTATAGCCGAGAAACGGGTAGTCATGCTGGATCTTGGTGACCGACTCTGCGCTTGGCCGTCGTTGGAGTGGATCGTTGTGATCCCGTGCAATATATTGCTCCATGTAGCGCCAGCAGATAGCCCAAATCCGGCCATGAGTCGCGCTGACGGGGTCGGGACCGAGAGTCGGGTCGAGCTGGCCGAGCCGGCCCTGGCGGAAGAGGAAGTCGTTGACGGATAGGTGGATGAACTGGACCTGAAATCGCTGCTCATCGTCGCTCCTTAAATCTTCACTATTCGGCTTTCGCACTTCAATAAGGCCTCGCGAGGCTGAAATAATACGTCGACGCATATCATCCAACGTCGGCCGTTGCTGTATCGCCGCCTGCTTTTTGCCTGTAGCCCATGTTATAGCATGGTAGAGCTCGTCGAGGAAGAGTGGCCGCTGGCTCAACAATACCCACTGTAGCGCCAGCACTGTCTCCTCTCGCTTTCCCCCTTCCCGGCCCACTAGAGCCTCGAAAATCTTCTCGATATTATCTGGCACAGACTGAAGGGTCGTCCACATTGCCTCGATATCACCATCGTCATACGCTATGTTAAGTTGCTCAACCACTAGCATCACCCATAGGAAGACGCCATCTGCCCTACGCTGAACCTCAGCCTGAAGTTCCGCGATGTCTCCTGCAAGCGTATCGCTGATATAGGCGGCAATGTCCTGGCTATGCCCGTCTGCGTTATCCACGTAGAGCGGTAGGTGCTTCTGTATTGTGATTGTAGGGTAGTGACGGCTCGACAGACAGACCCGGAGCGTGACGTTCGCCTGCGCGGCGCAGCCACTCAGCGTCTCGAGCATTTTCACGACAGTACGAACGCCATCGTCAGAGCACTCATCAAGGGCATCGACTAGCAAGAGTAACGGCCGCCTTACCGCTCCTCCGTTTTGCGTCCCTTGCCATCTGATCACCTCAATAAGAAAGTCGCGGAGCTCGGAAAATGACCAATCAAATAGCCTTTTAAGTCCCGTAATACGGTCTCCCGCCTTTGTCTCGCCTCCGCTCAGGCGCTTCTTATCATCGTAGCGCGGCACAAAGAGTCTGCAGACGGTGTCGTCGTGCTTGACAAGCTCGTAGATGATCGACCGGAGCATACCTAGGGGCGACTTCTCAAGCGCGTCGCCCCGCGCATGGAAGAAGTACGCGGCGATCAAGTGGTCGGGGAAGTGGTGCTGGCAGTAGTGGAGGGCATGCTTCATTAGCGTGGACTTGCCGGCGCCGGGCTTGCCCTTGAGCCAGAGCACGCCGTGGTGGTCGGCGAGGCGGTCGCGGCGGCACCACTCGCGGAACTCGGGGGTGGCGAAGAGCCAGTCGCAGGTGCCAGCGAGAGCCGGCTCGATTTCGTGCCGGCGGGCGCCGAGTTGGGCATAGGCCAGCGAGTGCAGACAATCTGGACGGCGTCAGAAAGACATGATCACAGACACCGTCATGGGAAGGACGATATTTATGAGTCCCCGGAAACGTTAAAGTAAGTACAGCTATATGTATACACGCTGTGTAGTCGAGAATGTGGTTGGTGCTATGACATACCTTCCCTCCTGTCCTGGTGGATAGTTTTCCTACCGGTAGTTTCTTCTTGAGCTGTTCAATATATTAACATTACTGATTATCCAGTTGTATAAGAGAGCTCGGAACTCACTAGCAACATTGGCTGTGCCGAGGAAACTCTGTTGACCTGCGTTGGTATTGTTGTTCTGTGTGCCGCTGCTAGCATGGATATTTTGTGGGCTAGATCCGTGATGGGCGATGTGTAATCCGCCTTGGTAGGATGATAGCTGAACGGCTTTGTCTGTTTGTAGATAGCGCTCAAGGACGGCTTTAGCGACGGAAGCGGCCGTGGCTGCCGCATAATCCTGCCAGCCCTTATGCTTGTGGCTGTCCGCGTAGTCGCACACCCCTTTGATCACGATGCAGGGAACCTCATCCCAAACGCCCGCTCCCTCCATCTCAAACGCGATCGCCTTGGTCTCCTGGAAGATTTTGTTCCGATGGGTAGCCGACCTAAGGACTAAGTTACCCGAGGCGACGACCCCTATATGGGCGGCAGGGGATTGTGTGAAGCGTGGGGCCCTAGGCTCTAGGCAGCTGTGATCACAACCGAGATCAGCGCACGACGACTTAAGCGCCTCCGGACAGACAGGATCTAAGTCTCCGAGGCAGCTTTGGCAGATGCAGTCTAGTTTGTTCTGATGCTTATGTCGGTAATCCGACTTGAAGAGCCTGTCTTGAGCGGCTCTAGGGCAGTCGTACTTCCCGGACCGCTTTCGGGGCAGGTTTTGCTGTAATTTCTGTAGGAGTTGTGCGGATCGTTCCTCCACCCAGTCGAGCCCACGGTCTGATTCGAAGACTGCTACTAGATTTCGGATATCTTTATTCGCCCGACCGAGGTTATCTTCGACGCTGTCCTTGCGCACAAACTTATTGTGGTGCTGCCTGCCGAAGTCGTACTGCACCACGCTCTTGCTGATAATAACGTCGCCTAAAAAGACACTATGGCCATTCGCATTATGAGGCATACCGCCACACACGCCAACGACGAGTGCGAGTCGAATGTTAACGTAGCTCGACCGCATGCTTGCAGCGGCACTCGCAGCGTTTGAATTGCCCATGTGTGGCAACTGAGCCAGGACGATGTTGTAGGCTCCCATGCGGCCAGTGATGTAGTGGTTAGGGTCGCCATTGGCACGGCCGTATCGATCGCCGTCTTCGTCCCAGAACTTGTCGAATGCAGCCTCGACGGCATTGCGCTCGCACGTCAGCGCGCAGATGATGGCGACCTCGAAGTCGTCGCGGCGAGCGGGGCATCGGGGCAGTCCGGTCTGCATGGTGCGACAGCAGGTGTCGCTGTGCTTGGTCGAGGTGCTCTGTATGAGACGAGAGTGTTATGCTAGCGATCAGGCCGAAAGCGCTGGCGCGTCCATTTTCGATATGAGCAATGAGAGAGGGGTGCAGCAACGTAAGTTGACGCAGGTGAAGCCTGGTCGGTCATGCGCTGATAGTAGCTGAGCGGCCGGCTCAGCCAACCACACGTGATTTTCGTCGCCGCCAGCCAACGAGGCTGTCGAATTTATGCTCCAAGCTGACACAGATGGCGAGGACACCAGGCGCGGAGACGACTTTGCGGTTGCCATGATTCAAGGCGGAAGACCATGGAACGGACGGATCACATTCCTGTCATGGGCACAATAGACTGGCTGCTTTTCGGACGGCCACAGAGCGCCATGACCTACTTAATTGTCGAGGGACTACGACACGCAGTGCTGATAGACGACAAAATGCAAGACACGGCTCATGGCATGCGGTCTTAAAGTCACATCAGGACAACATCCTGCGGATAATGCCGTCCGCACTAGCGAGCGGGCCGAACGTTGTGTAGACGGCGTCCACTCACTCGAAACACACTGTGTAATTTTGCGGACGCGCGGGGCTAGAACTCGTAGCTAAGTGCAGCACCAGCCACCTCGTCTCCTGCGATGAGCCGAAATCCATGTAATGAGGTCGACGGTCCCAATTGGGTGGTCCTAGTATCAATATCCAATTCGCGCTTATATTGATTCAAAGTTAATACGTAGAGGGGATGGGGTAGAAGTAGTGAGCATTGGTCGTAAAACGTCATAGTGTACCATTTCAAACTGAGTAACTTAGATTTAAAACAAACGACGAAAATAGAAGACACGGATGTGTGGGGTTCGCTTCATGCACAAGTTCGATGACACCTATTGTTAGTCGTCGCGCGTTCTGAACTTAGAAAAATCAACCTCCGGCGTTGCAAGGCATTGCACGGAATAGAAGGACTGGACGGCGTCCCGTGCTTTCTACTAGGTATAGTCGTATGAGGCAGTTGAGGTCTTTGCTAAAGATTGTGAACATGCCCCCAATTTGCAAGTGCAAAACAAAAAAGAAGGCCAAACACATACAACAGCCGGTATTCGCTGGTCGTCACCGACCCAACTACTAATCAGCCCCTCAGGATTCTTTGCTGTCAGGATGCTGGCAGCTTGAAGTGGAAGAATAGGCATCCAGAATAGACGCCCACGATCTCCGTTTTTGGAGTGTTGTGATCCACGTTGCGACGATCCACTATACCTTAATATCACATGACCGTCCATAAAACGGGCGTATCCTTGAGCGTTGATCAGTTGTTAGAAGGTGCAAAGAAATTGTTAGTCTCCGTCGCACCTGAAGCGCAAGGGTCAGGGGTGGCGTGTGGAAGGGGGTGGCTCACATCCCTGCTCCTCGTTAACTTAAGAAAGTGCAGGCGCACGTATCGCAATCCTTGAGAACGCCTGACTGTATCAAACTCCTGTTTCGCCTCAGAACGACCATCGCGGCCCCAGTGGGATGCCCAATGGGTACATTTAGGCTTCGGCCATTCACGCTGTGGCCACGACTTGAACGAGCTCGAGGCTGCTACAGGGATCGCCTTTCTCGTACACGCCAGCTGTCAAACTATTCTGCAGCAGCGCAGCCAGAATCCCGCAGCTACCGCCAAAGATACTTCATGTCCTCCCTATCGTCACCGCCGTATTCTGCAAAAAAGCAGCCGTCAGACTTCTCAAGCCTGAAATGGCACGAACTTCCGCCCGAAAGCAGAATCAGGGACTTTTATGGCGGGAAGAAATGGGGTTGGGTTGTTTACCGGTGCTCCTACGACAAAGAGCTCGATGCCCGCTGGAAGGACCTCAAGCGACGTGTCCTAGAGAACTTCCGGGAGAAGGTCGCCGCGTAGCACGTGCCATCGCTCATAAACACTATGGATTTCATCATTGTGGAAGATCCAGCCCTCCAAGGCGCCACGAATGACGAGTTGCGGGCTCGTTTCCAGGCCTGGGTGCCCCAGGACTGTCCACCACCCACGCGCCCCTTTATCAACAAGAAGCCGCGCTACCGCCTCACACCCGTTCTCAGACACCCGCGCAAATGGCGTATAGCCTTTCCTGTCATGTTCAGATATGTCTGCCCCTTGTTCAAGCATTGCTTTAACGAGGCTCAGCCTGCCCTCTTGCGCAGCCCAGGACCAAGGGGTCCGGCCTGTATATCTCTTTAGATCCTTTCGGTGCTTCAGACCTTCAAATATGTCAACGCCGTCAAAGGTCATGGAGGGAAACCCCAAGAGGGCAGTTGCTATCCCGTTGTGGCCGCCGGCTAGAGCGGCGAAGAACGGATAGTCATAAGTGTCCCCAGGAACGTAGGCGGTCGAATCTCTCTTCAACTGCGTGCGAGCGAGCCTCTCCAGTCTTTTGACTGCAAAAATATAAATGGGGGTCGCACCCCAACTATATCGCCTGGACTTGAATCTTTCGCAAAGATTGACCACGCGGACGCCGTCCGAAGCGAAGAAATAGGATAGAAATTCATCCTGGGGAATGATAGCCGCCGCCTCATTGGCATGAGGGAGCACGTGCTGGCTAGCATAATCCAGAAACAAATACCTTTCGTCCGGGGTGCCCTATTCGCTTGTATCCTCACCGCCATTGAAGATCGCTCGCACCTCTGGAAGAGATAGATAGGTAACACAGCAGCGCTTGAGCCGCTCATGGCTGTGGCCCTCCCACTCGAATCCAAGGTCGGGCCATAGTTCCCGGAGGCCGTTTTCTTTCACCAAAAAATCACGCACCGACTCGTGGATAAACTGCACCGTTGGCTGCTTCGACTTGGTGACTTCGACGAGGCCCTTGGAGGAACTCGTGACCAGCGCGACGGCATCCTGGTCCGTATTGTCTGGCAGATCGGGGTCCGACAGGCGCTGATCTAACAAGCCCGCTCACACGGCGTGGCGGAACTCGCCTGGACTCAGAGGCCGTTTTGCGCAGAGCACCCAGAGAATGCAGATCAGCAGTCGTTCCGGTTCCTTCTCATCACGCGCCAAGATGCTCCTGAACAAGTCGCTTAGCTTGGGCGGGATCCCCGCGAGCCTAGTCCTAAGAGCAAGCGCCCCCTGCCTGCTCTCTTCATTCAGGATGTCCACTACCAGCACGATCCACATAAAAATCCCGGCAGCCTTATCTAGAATTTGGGATTGCAACTCTGCAAGGAGCGAGCGGCTATGTATCTTAAGACGAGTCTTAACGTACTCGGCAAGGTCATCTCCATGTCCCGATTCATCCTCGAGAACGAGCAGAGCTCCCCGGTGTATGTCAATGTACGGGTAGGGCCGGCTCGAGAAGCAGACGCGGAACTGGATGCTACCTTCGGTGGTTATCTCGGCCAGGTCCTCGAAAAACTCGACCATATCCCGCACTTCCTGCTCGTCGCACTCGTCGAGGGCGTCGATAAAGGAGGTAAAGGAGCGCTAGCCGAGAGAGGTGACAGCGCTTCTGAGGAGCTCCTTCAGGGCATTCATGTTAGGACAGTCTTGCTGGCTCCTGGGGACGATGTCGGTGTCGTCCAGGACGGACTGGAGGTCTGTCAACGCCCTAAGGAGCTGCACCAGGAGGGATCGGTACATGCCTGCCACGGACTTTTCCAAGTCTTCGCCCCGCGCATTGAAGAAGAAGGACGCGACTGCTATGCTGAAGTTTCTTGACCGTTTCTTCGTCTGTAGATAGATAAACTTCATTATGGTCTACTTTCCGGCACCTACCTTTCCCCGCATCCACAGGAAGCCGAGGTTCTGCGACTGCGTCCCGGGGTCGAGCCAGTCCTTGTATTTCGGGTGTCGCAGGAACCAGCGACAGGTTTTGGTATAGGCGGCTTGAATAGTTGTCTTACGTGCGTCGATTTATGGGAAGTCGAGGGACTCGAGCAGCCGTTGGCGGCGTTCCAGGAATTCCACATGGTCTCGCCGGGTCAGCATGAAGAGAAGATGGGAGGGACGGGTGTATACCAACTGGCTTGGGCTGGCTCGCTGCTGTGAGCCACGAGGCAGCGCGACCGGACTCTACACGCGCGACGGGGAGGGCTTCCAGTAGCTCCCTCGCGTAAGCGGCCGCGGTCGCAGCTACGTAGCCCTGCCAGTGCTTGTTCTTGTGAGAGTCCGCGTAGTCGCAAATACCGCGAATCGGCAGGCACTGCCAGTCCATCATCCCGGCGGCCTCCATTTCGAAACACAGTACGGAAAAACGCTAGGCGATATTGTCGCGCTTGCTTGCGTTTCGCATCACGCTATTGCCCGAGGCGATGCCCCCGTAGTGGATCTTAGGCTCGTTAGCCACGTGCACGCGCCGCGGCTGTAGCTTGACCGGATCACAGCCGTCGCACGTCAGCGTCCTCGAAGGGTGGTCGTAAGAAGCCTGAAAAAGTCGATCGGGTTTGTTAGGACGGGAGTAGCTCGACAGCCTGGTCCGCAGGAGGCTCGTCACGCGGCGGCTCGATCCATCCCGCTCGTGAGTCGCCCGTACGGTCGTGACAGCCGAGAGCAGCAGTCGCGCTGGTATCTTCGCATCGGCCGTGATCTCGAACTCCCCGTCGCCGACGTCCCTGCCCATGTCGTACTATATAACCCGCGTGCCCACGACGACGTCGCCGAGATATAGATCGGCCATGGCGGGCGCCCCGCCGCCGATGCTAACCATCAGGGTGGCGCGGATGCTCCGGGAAACTGCGCTTCAGGTCTGTGGCGACGATCGCAGCGTTATTCGTCCCGTATTGCCCGGGCAGGCACGCTATGACGACGTTATGCCTATCGATATGTCCGAGGACGTACATATTTTCGCCACCGGGCTGCAAGGGTAGCAATCGGTGCTCCTCGTCCAGCATAGCGCAGGACGCCGCCAGCTCCAGCGGAAGCGCGCAGATCCAGGCGATAGTGTCATCCGAATATATATGCCCAGGCGGTGGGCCCGCTACTTCCTGGTGCCCGTGCGCGCCGCCGTTAGGAAGAGAGTGTGCGGTTCTCGGCCGCTTTAAGTAGCTCAGGTCGGCCCCTCTATCTTGGTGCGGTCGTTTGTCCATAGCTGGCGTCTTTGTTGACCGTTATCGAGGAGGCCGAATCTGAGGGGCGTGCCGACCGTGCGAGACGGGAGGCCTTCAGCCCTGCCAGAACAGACCGCCAATCAATTACCGTGCCACGTGCATGATAAGGCTGAGCGGCCAAGTCGGAACATAAAGCCACCGCTGGGCCGCTGTGAGCATTAAACTATAGCTGACCACGACGACGACATCAATCGCTCCGCTGACGAACAAGTCTGAAGACGACGTAGGTGATGGGCAGCGTTCGCCAGGTTCCCGACTCCCGAGACACTACGTAGCCGCTGCACTAGTCCGGCGCGGCCCGAGACGTGTACAGCCACTAGACATACGATACGGGGTGATTTGCTGCCAGCAGATGCATCCGTACAGCCGAAATTACCCGATGGTTCCCCGGATTTGACGAGGCACGGCCTCCCATAAGCCTATCACCGACGTAAAAACCGGTATTAGGTACCTTTGGTTCCGGTTTGCGTCCGTCGAGAACGCGACTATCAAATATCGGGTCAATAGGGCCAACCGCTCGACACCCATAAGAATAACGCGTGGCACCAGGGATAACACTCTCTTTTTGGTTGCTGAGGATCTCTAGCGCCCCGCCAAGCCTTTGTTTTCTACGACACCGACCACTAACTTTCTATAACAAGCGGCTATTCCGCCGGCAGAAACGTGTATCGGCTAACAAGCAAAGAAGGAGGCGCTCTTGAACGCCTTCACGAGCGCGCCGACGATAGAGTTGACCTTCTCAGCCGGCGCTCGCCAGAATGATAATGTTGTCGTCGCGCGCCACATTTATCCAAGTCGAGATGCGCCGATGAATCTGCGGAAGTTCTTGACACGGCGCGTCGTTAGGGTCGGGCGTGGGTTGGCGAGCGCTACTATTGGCGCCCCCAGTGGAACTATGCGGATGTAGTTCCTGAGGCTTGGGTTGGGGGCTTGGACGGCGCCGGCGAGCTGTTCCTAGAGCCGCGTGTGCGTGCGCATCGCAGGCTCCAGCGCCCACCGATGCCTCAGCATGGCATCGGCATGTGGCTGTAGCTCAAACCGGCCAGAGTCGGCCGCGGAAAATTATGGCCGTCGCCTGCTCTGATCATGGTTGCAGCCTGGCGCACACTAAGGCTGCTCATCGTTCCTCATCCACATCTTCCCGCTCCGTTAACTATTGAAAGTCGAGTCGAATCACCATGGAAAGGACTGGGAGTCGTCGTCAACCTCTCTTCCAAGGCTGCCCTGCTGTGTCTCCCGTACTCCAGAGTGGTCGCCGGCGCCCGAGCCAGCATTCAGCGTCTCCACGACTAGGTCGAACACCCGGGCACCGCCTTGCGAGTTGCCAGCACCTCCTGGAAGGGAATATTGGCCTGCCCCTCTTGACATTCCGGTACCGCGATACATCGATTCAGCTTTCGCGCCCTCCGATGGTGTTTGAGTATACACAAGACGGTGAGTACTGTGTGGGAGTTTAGGGTGGCCCTTGGAATTTTTTAATTTTTTTCGCGTTTCAGTACGTATGCGCACATGGCTATCAGTCGTTTACAGTCATCGTGCCATAGTCCTTTATAAGGAGCCTTAGGCTCCACTACCTTAGACAATTAACCTTTTCCCTCTTTACTTGAATTCTATTGCTTTTGTACTTTGACCTACAACCACCACCCAGGCTGCGGGCCTGGCGCCCCTGCAGACCCGTCGAATCATTTGCTCAGGACCTATGCCACATCCTTCGATCGATCTCGAGAGCGTAGATGCGCTGTGTTGTTGTTGTTGTTCGTGATGCCGTGGCGGCAGCCTTTGTGATAAAATGGACACCACCCCCGGGCTGTAGGAGGGCCAAGGCACGAGCAGGGTCGGGCTGCAGCGGTGTCTTGTCCTGCCAGTGAGCCGCCCTGTGGGGTGCTCCGCCAAAAGCAAGCCGTGCCCCTTTGGGCCGTCAGCGGAAAGCAAGGGGTCATAAAGAGGCTTCTTGGCCTGCAAGGTACCGAGTACTCCGTAGTGCCTTCCCGCTCATTGTTGAAGTGTCGCCTCTCAGGGGCTTGCATCTTGCCAAGGCACTAGCTACGCTGTGGTGCAGTCATACCTACGCCGAGATAGTATAAACCCACAAAAGACAATTAACAAATAAAACAACCCGGGCTGCTTTGGTTCGCACACTGATTCGTGGTGGCGTCGCATTCTTGGCCCCCGGCACAAGAACATATACCTTGTTGCCTCTTCCCGCGGACACTCTTCCGTACTCACATCCCACTTTCATTCTCATCCTCCTTCCCTACAACCTTTTTCCCTCCCTGATTCAGCCTCCATACAGGACCAGCATGGCTATTCTCTCTCGTTGGCTGCAGCTTGTCAGCTGGATATGTGCTCTGTCCTTCAGCATAGTCGCTACAGCTCACAAAGATGATCTACCCGACATTGATGATCTATCAACCGGCATCGCGGAGTTTTATCAAATCTTTCCTCGCAACGAGACGTATGCGCCTTCACCACTATTCCCGGTTGTGTTCGCATTCCAGAACCCAACTATCGCCCAGTCATTGAGCTCATATATAGCGGTCACCTTGTTTCAGTGGAATCAGAGCACTAGTGACTGGGAGGTCAATGATACGGCCCAATTCGTTCCTGGAAAAAAAATGAGCAACGCTTCTGATAACGAGGCTTTTTTTGTTCATTTTGTCTTTCCTGAAAAGCTCGATACAGAGGCCGATTGGGGTCTCGCTTGGGAACTCACGTATAACAACTGCACCGAAGGGGAAGGCCGACAAATATACCCTTATGCTGGATCGTTCGGTAAGTCTATTGGTTTCAAGACCAAAAAAGGGTGGCCAGGAACCCAACTTCATTTCCTCTTCTGGCGATGCCCAATGCTCAGACTTCCCCGGCTCTACTTGGAACATTACCAAAGTTGCCGAACCTAACCCTCGAAGCTATGAAGGCCAGTGGTGTGCTTACTACTCCTCGGTTAAGCCAGACCCGAATCCCTGCGAGGTGCAGGTGGCTTCGGAAATTCAAGAGAGTATCCTTGCTTCGGCTACAAGTGCTTTCTATCATTCGCGAGATGTAGCTTGCCCGGGCTACGAAGACGACGAAGACGAAGAGGATCATAGTAGGACCATTCGTGTAAGCCTAGCTGCCACTTTTGCGGCTTGCTTTGTTTCTTTTGCAGTTGGCATGGGCCTCTTCATAGTATAGACGCGCGCAATCGCAACTTCATTATTAATTTGCACAGTCTTTGTGTGCACATCCTTTCCATGAAGGCTGCAGAGTCCTGTGTGGTACCTTCCAGGGTGCACCATTCCATCGGCCCTCGACCCCGTGCCCAATCTGGGGGCCGTTCCATGCGTCAATCAGCCCCCCCCCCCCCCCCTCTTTCACAGGTTACGTTGGGGGCCTTATGAGTTTGCCACGAAGAGTATTAATCCCAGACCTGCCCTCGGGGTGGGAAAGGAACAACGGCAGCCGACCTGCACAACCACAAGCATATAGTCTGCCGTTTTTTCTTTCCGGCTTGTACTGCCAAATAAAGCTTGTTTCTTCGGCCGACCTTCCACAGCATCGGAGGGGGCGGGGGAAGGGGGATTCTGTTAGTGACCTGCCCACTGCCCCAACAACCGCTGCTTGCGAAGCCAAGTCAATGTGACGGAGACGTACAATGCCTTGGCCATAGTCACCAAGACGGGGGTTACGTCAAACAAAATTGCCGCTGGCTTGAAAAGCTATGGACGATCCTTCAATATGGTAGACGGAGACTGCTGCACCGAAGAATGCTCCTTCACCGGGTCCCTTGTGGTTTCAGATGCGACTTTGGGTCCATGCACTAGCGAGGGAGGTATTCTGGCCAATGCTGAGATCCTGGAGATCCTTGATGATTCTAGCCGCGTCAAGCATAACTTTTTGGACCAGCATACGCACAGCAATGTCCTCGTCTACGATGACAATCAGTTCATCAGCTGGATGAGCGAGGACGTGAAGCAAGAGCACCAGATATTCTACCAAGCGCTAGGTATTAGTAGATCGATCACCTGGGCGACGGATCTAGAGGAGTAACATGATACCCCAAATGGTATAAGTAGCTGGCTCAAGATGAGGAGCCCTAGCACGTCGGGTGACCGAAACGGAAACTGGAGCGAGCTCAAATGCGATAACATCGCCTGGGTAGACCGCACAAATCTTTCCCAGAAGAGCGATAGAATCAAATGGATGCTCCCACTGCATTGAGGGACTTGATTCAAGTCTGGGAAGATTCTGGTCGTGATACCCATTTCACTTCCATCATTAGCTCCAATATGGGGTATTCGGTTTCCTTTGGTTGCTAAAATATTGCTGAAAGCACTGGTTGTATTGACGAAATAGTGTGCGACTCGGAAGATCTTGGCCCCAGAAAAGACGTTGCTAGAATTGCTATCACCAATTTGTTTGTCAAGATCAAAGCGGTGAGTTGGGCTACTGAGATTCTATCCTAATACTAGGCTAGCACATAAACGAGATTTACAGGACTGTGGAAGACGCTGTGGCGGATTCTGCTGCATGCAAAATCAACAGCGCCCTCGACAGCTTTAGCAACGACCTTGCCCCTGTTCCTCCAGAGCCTGATAATACTGGGCTACTTCTCTTGCTCGATATTCTTACTATTGGAGCCTCCGCTGCCCTTGGTCTTTTGTTCAAGAATGGTACTTTTCGACCCTTGGTCCCAAGCTCCGTAATACTGTCTTCGAATCTCCTGATACTAACAGTCATTGACTACCAGTCATTGCCAAATTGCCGAAATTCGCAGCAGCCGGGTCGACAGTAGCAGCCAACCTAGAGGACACGACCATCCTTGCTGTGCAGCAAGGGACGACGCTGGCGAAGGATCTGGCGAGCAAGGACCCGTGAGTAATACGTTTTCACTTCGGAGGCCTATCTGACTTAAACGCAAGGGACGACTGGGATGAGGGTTCACAAGAAGGTTTCAAGACAAATATACCAGGAGTGCTCGACAACTGGTCCAAGCTCATAATTGACAACCTAGATGCACTGTTGTGACGTTCGCATCTAGACTAGCTACCGAGTAGATAGAATAGAAGTCGGTTTATGAATTGAGTACACTAGGATGTCGTTGACTTGAGCGGTCGGGTCACAGTCTATGTGCGAGATAGTAGATCTTGCGTAGACAATTGTATAGATAGCCGAGGAGCTGGTAGAGACTGACTATGGTGAAGCGTAGCTTCCTATATACTAAGTGGATGTTTTGTAGCCGACGGTAGTCGACAGTCGTCTACGAGCGCCTTCTTGGTGTAGTCGAGTGTAGTCGCCTGGCGTCTACAGTCGGCTACCATGTGCGATGCGGTCGCACGTCGGGTCGTAACAAGCCACGACATGTTTCAGCATCTTGACCGCATCTTTCACCTGGCCGTTAGCATAATAAGCTCCTGCCAATGCGTGCTGCGACTCTAGTCGATCCGGGTAATCCTCCACCAGCTGCAGGACATCATTCGACCACTTATGTACAAGTCGGTAACGACATCGTAATATCTCGGCCTCATATTTTGGATGGGTGGCAACTTTAACTGTATCGTCGATCAACGCCATGCCGCACCGCGGTTGGATATAGCACTGGGCAGAACCAAGATTTTAAGTAAACTAGAGGCACGTCTTAGTAGAGTATAGCATCTAATATCGACCATATTCCTAAAAGCAGAGTGGAAACCCTAAGTCTGATAAACCGAGACTGATACACTTTGGAGGTTGTGGCCATCCAACCAAGATGCATCTGCGCTGTGTGTGGGTGCCACGTGCTGGTCACGTACACGCACAGGTACGATAGCGATAAGATAGCATTGATGACGCCGCAGCCAATCAAGCTGCGCGCACACGATCCGAGGAGCAGCGGCGCCATGCCTATTTTAGGCTGACCGACTGGCTGCCCAAGGACGTTTGAATTGATCATCCCTTTTCCACCTGTTTGATCTGCCTCTTATTAGTGCATCATTTTGCACCCAAGTGATCTGTGGTAGCGTGGCATGCTTGGTTCGGGCACAAAGATATATGCTTTGCTACCTCTTCTGCAGACACTCTTCCGTACTCATTTCCCACTTCCCACTTCCTCTCTAATCTTACTTTCTCACAATCTTCTTCCCCCCTAACTGATTCCGCCCCCATTTAGAATCAGTATGGCTATTCTATCTCGTTGGCTGCAGCTTGTCACCTGGGCATGTGCTCTGTCTTGCAACATGGTCGCTACAGCTGCCTCTGACGATCTACCCGACTTCGATGATCTATCGACTGGCATCACGGAATTCCATCAAGTCTTTCCTCGCAACGAGACATACGCACCTTCACCCCTGTTTCCAGTTATGTTCGCATTCCAGAACCCGACCATCGCCTATTCATTGACACCGTCTCTTTCGGTCATCTTGTTGAAATGGAATCAGAGCATCAGTGACTGGGATGTGAATGATACGACCTATTTTCACTTAGGAGAAATGGCCAACGCTTCTAATAGCGAGCCTTTCTTTTTTCATCATGTCTTTGGTGGAAATCTCGACACAAAGGCGTATTGGACTCTCGGCTGGGATCTCACGTGGATCAACTGCACCGAAGGGGAGGGCCGATATATATACCCATATTCTGGAAGTTTCCACAACTATATACGTTTTAAGACCGAGGAAGGTGGCCGAGAGCCTGATTTAGTTGCTTCTTCAGATGACTCGCAATGCTCCGACTTCCCAAGCGTTACTTTGAACATCACCGAAATTGGCGAACCGTACCCTCAAGGCTACCCAGGCCAGTGGTGTGCCTACTTCTCGTCAGTCAAGCCAGACCCGAAGCCCTGCGAGGTGCAGGTTAGCTCGGAACTTGAGGAGAGTATCCTTGCTTCCGCCACTAACACCTTCTGTCGGGGACTGGAGGACGTGGATTGCCCGTCCGACGAAGACGACGAGGAGGGTCATGGCGAGACCATGCGTGGAAGCCTGGCCGCCACTGTCGCGGCTTGCTTTATATCTCTCGCAGTTGGGATGAGCCTCCATATAGTGTAGATACACACAATCATAGCCTAGACGTTCACTTGTATAGTCCTGTGTCTGTATATCCTTTCCGTAGAGTCTTTAGAGTCTTGTGTGGTACGTTTCAGCGTATATCATGACCAATCGGCCCTTGAATCCGTCCCTAATCTCGTAATCTTCTGTGACCCTTAGGTCTTTCCCCCTATATGTTAGCTTAGGGACTTCAAGAGTTTGCCACAAAGAGTTCCAGACCTGCCGAATCGAGCTTGTTTCTTCAGCCGACTTCCTAGAGCATCAAAAGGGGTGGGGGAAGGGGGGAGAGGGCTTTTCGTTAGCGTTAGCTGTCACTCCAGGCTTGTGTTTTAATTTGTGATAATGGCTCTTAATCAAGGGCTACATAAAAATTAGGTCTAGCGTGCATAAGATTCTAGGCGATTTCAGCAGTCCGCGGCATAGTCTGCTAAAGAAGGAAAATCTACAGCTCATTAACCTCATCACCTAGCTACCCATATAATAACGGCAAATCAGTCCTTTCACTTTAGGGTCACGCACCCTATGGAGTGCCTTAGAGACTCGAGAAGCCAAGACAGTCTCTCCGCGCTGGACCGACGCCGATATAACTGCTAATGCAGTTATCCTGCTACTGTGAGGCGGCCTAGGAACAAAGGCCTCATTGGTTCTCATCGACAATGCCGCGCCTGTCCATCTTATAGGCACACGATAGATATTGAACGAATGTTGGAGCTTTACACACCCTGGGGTAGCGGTGCGTCTTTCTATTTGTAGCGACACCCCTGAAAATGCATGTCCATAATCCGTACCGCTCGAATGTGGATGACCAGGGTCCTCCGACCAGGCGTGTCCATCCGTTCCGGCTCTTAAGGTATATAAGAAATAGGAAGATAGACGAATTAATATTTTTTTCTTTCTCTTTCCCTTACACTTATCCACGGTAGTCTGTTCGCTTATTCACAGACTATTGAAGTTCTGCCATTCGCTCCCTACTTCTTGACACTCATTCTACCGAGCACAAAGACCTAAGTCCGAGCTCAAACAAGCCGCAATAGGCTCTCCCATTCGCACAGCGCTCCTGAAGCTCTCGGGTCTCTTGTTAGCCGCGTCCAACGCTGGCGAAGCACTAGGCTCAGAGTTCAGACATCCTGTCAGCCCAGGATATCGTCCCGCAAGCGACGTCTGTCCTTTGGGATGCGCGGATGCTGGCGCAGACCCGGCCAACTGGCAAGCCTTCCTGGGCTTTGATTAACTCTATCACTACCCTGAAATCATATTCTACGACTTCTCCCTCCTTAATAATATGGATAATAGGACCGCATCTTATCGTATCTTCGCCTGCACCTCTTTTATTCTTAATTAGATAAGTCTTCCTAACTCGGCTCTGCACGCGTCTTAGACTAACGCTGCCGACGTCGAGTATAAGATTGGCTTGCTAGACGAGAGTGGCTCTGGTCTAGATGCTTCAGGTATCCGGTCCGTTTTAGAGCAGATGTATCAAACAGGCCAAAAGGGAATTCCACATGTGCTCTGAATGTGGCTAATTGGCGTACATACGCAACAAGATGCGTCGCTACTTTGAGAGTGGCTTCGGCGAGGCTAATGAGACGGGTGTCCTCTTTGCTTAATCCGGGCGAGCCTCTTTCGGTCTCTATATCGGTTCTGCACTATAGAAAGAAGGCGTCAGCTCGGTCACCCTTAACGCCCTCGAGGCCTTCGTGTCCTCTGATATGATGGCGTTGATAGTCGATATGCAGCTCTGCAACCCTGCCTAAGATATAACGCACGCTTTTGGTTGGATAGTAACTACTAATGTATCATTTGCCCCGATTTAAGAGGCTATTAAGTTATAGGCGAACCCTATATATCTGCCTATTTAAGATTCCGAGAAGATTCTAGGAAAGGCCCACCTCGTAACGCCGTTATTGGAGGGAACCTTGAAGAACTTAACTATAACACGTTCTTCCAAGCGCTCTAAGCCTAGGAGACTCATAGCGCGGGATGAGTGTGAGACGATTCGAGTTAACCCAGGCAATAGCTGCGGTGTATTGGCTGAGAGGTGCGGTATCTCTGGTCATACGTTTGAAGAGTATAACAACTATAAAGACGACCTATGCTCTACTTTATAAGCTCAGCAGCCTGTCTACTACACGAAGGGAGATCTTCCAGACTTCAATCCCGACCCGCAGCAGGATAGTATTTTCGCCACCTCAGGTCACGTCCGTTGATACCTGCAGTAGTCTCGCTACTGCTAGCAGCCTGACCGTGAAAGACTTGAAAGAGTTTAATAAGAATATCTAGGGGTGGACCGACTGCGAACCCCTCTAAAGGGGAGCTGTCATCTGCTTGAGCAAGGGAGCACACAAACGCGAGGATTCGGTTTTTTTTTTTTTTTTTTTTCGCAGCTCAAGCTCCTATGTTAGCGTGTGCGCCACCGGTAGGACGAGGACTGTTGCGCCATGGCCATGAGATTCTCCTAAGCGAAGCGCGCTCACAGCCTAATGAGCACCCTGCCACAACAGCCCAAAAGCTGCCGTCAAGGACACGACCAATCGTCAGCATCACTTGCCCCCCAATACTCGTAGACTTATGCCAACTCCTGAGCACCTACGCTAATTATAGTCGCGGACGAACTCAAAGCCTGAAACCATGCATAGATCAAGCAATGGATCAGTCCGGCATTCGATCGGGATTGGGGAGATATTTGTGGTGATTCCGCAATCAAAAGTGGCCCCAAACAAGAGCTGGACCTCATTGAGACGTTGGCCCCGAAGTCATGACTCGCGTCGCGTGACTAGGCGCTGTGGCGTTCACTGTCCATCTTAGCAGTGGACAAAGAGCTTCTTAGCTCACTCCGTACTCCGTTCTGTCTGGGAAGAACAACATGAAGCAGGGGCGCCCACACCGAGGGATGTCGGCCTGTTCGTGATTGTAGCGATGCCAGCCCAACCGCATGTCCAGACTCTCGGTGCTGGTTCGCGATACATGCTCGAACAGGCTTACGCCCCGTGCTCCCGAAAATTTGGTTCGTCGTGGATCCATCTCCTAGCGTCCACTGGCGCCTCCATAGTGCATTTCTCCATCTTGAAACTTGAGTCCTGGACGCGCACAGCAATCGGACACGGAAGAAACCCTACCGAGCAAGGGTACGCAGTCGCGATCCGTTGAAATGCGCTTCGTCTGGGCCAATGGCAAGCTGGCACACCAAACAACGTGATCTCACTGCGCAGATCTCACTGCGGAGACGGATCCGGCCTGTTGGTATTTCGATCGCAGATCAAGTCGACTCGTCATTCGCCCGTCGGCCCCTAGCTCAAGGGGAACTAGACTAGGGCGTATCAAACAAGCCTCTAGTCCCAGGGGCCAGGATCGAGGTATGGCCCCATTCGCCGCGTGGCGAGCGAAGAAATCGAGTTGCCCTAGACTCATGTTGGCACTTGCTTCCGAGTAGATCGTTCGTCCTTGAGAGGATACGGCTCAACGGGCCTGCGAACAACGGCCAGGTCAACCTTCTTGAAGTCCGAGGCTCGAAATCCAAGACGCAAGGTGGTTCTTGGTGTTATTGCACCCTGATCTTTTTGAGAGGTGATCCACAATGGCCTAGAGCATCGGAAGTTGTCGCCACTCGAAGCCAGGATGAGACACGAGAGTGTATCCCGCGCGCCAGGATTCAGGGGAGTCAAATCAAGCAGAGATCGTCAGCGGAGGCCCGGACCCTTACCAGCCACGATCCTTCTGGGAACAAGTTGCATGACAAGATTTCCAGTTCCAACACCGAAACTCCTCATCCACACTCAGTGCTGGGAAATCCGGTATAAGTGGGCAATGTGGCCCTGCCAGACTGTGAAAGCAATGACAGTTGTCTCTTCCCTCGCGTGTTCCGTCCCTGCGTCAAACCCTCCGATACATCCCACGTGGCACGGCACACGACAGACGGGATGAGCGTCCCTGATCACGGGCCGCTATTGACGAGTGCCATATGGCCTATTTGCGGGGTGCCTCTGCTCTTCCTGGTTGCGAGGCTGTATGTGCGGTTTACGCGCAGTCGAGGGTTCTGGTGGGATGACTGGGTGCTCATGGCATCATGGGTATGGAAGCCTCTACCACCTCCTGTCGTCGCGAAAGGCCATTCTTGCTGACCGTGGCTTCTTTTAGGTCTGCCTTCTCTTTCAAATCTGGACGACACAGGCAGCCATCGGATATGGCTTTGGCAAGCACATCCAGAACATCGACCCGCCGAGCAAGATCTTCCAAATCGCCCTCTATGGACAGGTTGGCGTCACCTTTGTCGCCTTTGCTATCCCGCTGAGCAAGATCTCCTTTGCAATCACGCTCCTGCGACTCACGGCCGGATACTGGCGGTACCTGGTGTGGTCCACGATTGCGTCCATGGCGCTGCTCAGCCTGCCCGCCGCCGTCCTGCCGTGGATTCAATGCCGTCCATTCAGGAAGACATTCGACCAGACGATTCCGGGAGAGTGTTTTGATCCTGCAACACTCATCAACTACGCCATCTTCGTGTCCGCCTGGTACGCACTGATGGATTTCGTGCTGGCCGCTCTGCCGTGGACCGTCCTCTGGAAGCTCAACATGAACTCGACTGAGAAGATGGGCGTCGGCGTCTGTATGTCTCTGGGCGTCCTGTAAGCTACAAACCCGACCTACCTTTCCTGATTGCCATGCTGACCAATTCTCCAAAGGGCCGGCACCATCGCCATCGTCAAATCCTGCTACATCCCCCAGCTCACCGACAAAGACTTCTCCTACAACGGCGTCGAGCTCGTCTGTTGGTCCGCATCCGAGACAGCCGCCGCCATCATCGCCGCCTCGATCCCCGTCCTGCGCGTATTCATCCGTGAAAAGGCAACCTCGGCTGGCTACAACTCGACCAGCCGTGCCGCGCGACGTGACAATGTCCAGCTGTCGCGTGTCGGGGGCAGCCGAGTCGATCCGGTCAAGGATTCACGCAAGGTCGTCAACGAAGTCTGGGTGACGGCGCACAACAGGGGCGATGGCGAGAGTGACAAGAGCATACTGAGGGGGAATTTGGGCCACTCCGATGGTGCACCCGAAGGAACCATCCTGCAGACGAATACCTTTCTGGTGGACACGCAGAGCGATCAGGACAGCTTCCAGGGCAAAAGGGTGAGCAATGGGTCTAACGATTGACAAGGAGGTCGCAGTGAGCACGCTTCGCAAGGAGCTGGGAAAATGGAATGGGCTTTAGATCTTTATTTTGTAATCTGTACACACTGAGCGATATGAATGATGTCTTTACTGTATGTCCAGGACAGTAGGCCCAAGTCCTCCGCTGGTGAGCATGAACTAACCAAATGATCCAAGACGGGCCTTTCCTTGCGAGCAAACAACCTGCGGTCGAGATTGAACTTACCATGAAAGAATTGCTGCTTGCAAGTCACACGGCGCGAGCCGTACCCGCGTAGCCCGACCGACCGACCGGCCCTGAGACGCCCTTGGGTCCCGGCTACGAACCGCGGCGCAGTGGCAGTCACTGATGCGATGCTTGCGATCCGTCACTTGGGCGCGCGATCGTCATCGATTTGCTCAGCATCTGAATCAAATCAATTGCTGACGGTGATGGCAGCTGTGTGCAGTGTCGAGGCGCTCGGAAGTGAGCGGCAAGGCTCTCTTTGAGATAGGATCGATCCGCAAGCGATCGAGCATCCACTCAGATCACCTCCCTGACTTCGGAAGGCATCCGCGACTGCAGCTCCTGATTCGATCGCTCATGCTCGTCCCGGTACGCGTTCAAGAGATGCCTTCTCATGACCTTTTGCGGTGCGCGTCTGCCCGTGAACAATTCGAACTGCGCAAAGCCCTGCTCGGGAAGAAGGTCTAGACCCGTCATTGCGACCCAGCCTCTCGACGCCTGGCGTCTCGCCTGAGCTAGCAGGGGCGTATTGAGTGTCTTGTACCCCAGCTCAATGATCACGCCGCCGGTGCGACTTTCCAGCCACCCGTCCGGGACGGTGAAATCCGGGGAGGGCGCTTCGCCGATGCGATGCGTAGGTATGCAGGAAATGATGATGGTAGGCAGATGGTAGGATGAGGGGAGATGATCATGCAGGCCTTCAATAATGTGGAAACGTGTTTCTGACCCAGCGCCAAGGGATTGAAAGTCCGGGTTCTGTAACAGCTGCTTGAAGTGAGACGCAAGCTTCTCTGCGCGAGAGAGAGTCCTGTTGTAGATGAGGATGTTCTGTACCCCAACTTGAAGCATGGCGTAGACGGCTGCTCGTGCCATGCCGCCGGCGCCCACAATGACACCGCAGGCACCTGGTCTGACAGCATTGGCTGGAGACAGTCCCTTGCGGATGCAGGCTCGGATGCCAATCCAGTCCGTATTCTCCCCATACAGCGCCTTCACCGAACCAGCTCTCCCCATTGCTTTGAAGAAGTCCGCACCCTGTGGCAGCGAGCCATCTGGATTAAGATGGCGAACCGGGATGAGGGTGTTTACCGCACCGATAGCACGCGCATGTCGACTCAGCGAGTGAATAAGAGTGATGACCTCGACCTTGAACGGCAGGCCAATGGAAGCACCGCCAAAGTACGGGTCCTCGATCAAGTGTTTGATCGCACTGAGCGACTCTGTAGAGTGCGGCGTGTAGTGGTGAGGCAGGCCACAGGCGTGGAAGGCAGAGTTATGCATTGTCGGCGACATGCTGTAGCCGACTTTGACACCAAAGACATACATTCTCATCCTGTCGTAGGCGTAGGCGGCCGCAAGGGCTTGAACCGCAGCGTGGCTTGTGAGAAGCAAGGAGGAAGAAGGCGAGGATTCTTCCTCTGCTCTCATTGCTACTGTTGATAGAATTGGGTTCAGAATGGCCGAATGTCTTCCTGATTCGCCTGTGTTGTACGCGATCAGGGGTATCTGCCGGCATTGTAAGGATGACACCGATCCTCTGAAATGACCGACCGCGATGTTGTCGTTAAAGGTCCCAGCTGGCCGTCGCAGTCTCACCATATCGCAACCTAAGCGACTCGCCTTCTGATAGAGTGTGGTCCATGTGTGGGATGTCCACGGCCGCGGGTTGTGCGTGACCAGGCAGTCGCCGATCGTCCTCGCTCGCCCCTTGCTGGCGATGAGATGCGCAATATCTGCATCCTTCAGCGTCAAGTTTATGGTCACAAGTTCGGGTGCAAGCCGCATTGTGTGCAGGACAAGCTGGAGATAGAACCGAGAAATCTCCTCGGGAGGAGTCTCTGGCAGCTTGACGTCGATGGCCAAAGGCACGACGGTGCTCCGCCGAGTCAGCCCGATTCCGCATGTAATCGCGTTGGCAAGGCTCAAGAAGTCATCGGATCCGAACGAGTCAGCTTTGGCGCACAAGTCATCGACAACGATCTGCACAACATCGGCGCCTTCGACGTGGTCTTCGATCTGAAATCCATTTTCGAGCGTCCTGGAAAGGGGCAGTGCCACAGCGTATGTAAATTGGAGGTCCTCAAAGGGCACGCCGGCCAGCGGGAACGCCGAGTCCATGAAAGGCAGCGCTCCCTGTGGGTAGATGAGACTCAAGAATCTGAGCAGATGCCTTTCAGCATGCTTCAGAGTGAGATAGGGCGCGGGGACCGGGTCAAAGATGGTGTCCGAAGATAAAGAGTCAAGGACATCTGGTTGCCTTTCAGTGACGTTGTAGAACTCAAAGTTGGTACAGGTCCCGAATATTGCACGGCTAACCTTGAGCAGGTTTTCCATCTTCTCGCGGTCCTGGATGCGCAGATGCTCCTGGATAGCATCCCCGTCTCGTACGACATGGACAACAGGATGTGTAGCCGCAAACTCGCGGAATAGTGCTTGTACTCGGCTCTCCATCCATGAGCAGACAATCACGCACCCAGTCTTGTTGCGCTCGAGGACATTGTGCAAGACCTTTGCCTGTTGGCGATGGCATTCCGTGGACCCGTGCAGCTTCTTGTAGACCGCACTGGATGCGAACCGCGTTCGTTGGAACACATTTTCGAGGTCGACGACTCTACGCTTCAGGGCAGACGATGCCATGATGGCCAAAGTCGATTTGCCAGCGCCACGAATTCCTACGAGAACGAGAGAAGCATCTGCGCTGAAGTCGGGTATTTCGCCGCTTAGGGGAGGGAACGTGGGGGACGGCGTCCTTGTCGTCATGTCGATCGCCTCCTCCGTAGCCATAGCCTGGTGCAGTGGCATCGTCGCCATGCCCCTTGCTTGATTTCTGTCCCCTCCGTTGTGTCGGTCGTAGTGTCGGTGGTCGAGCGTCTGGTGGTCAGTACCAAGCACGGCCTCAAGGGGCCTCTTGACGCCTGTCATGATGGACATTTGGTTCTAGACCGAGTCGATGTCCATACTTCGTCACAGAGGAAAGTCGGTCAAGACGGGACAGACAAGACGGCCAATTCTGTAGGATTCAAGGTGTGTATCGGAATGCCCGGTGATCGCACCCCGCTTGAGAAGAATTGGCCTGGTTGTCGGTCCATGACTTTCGAAGATCCCCGGGGGGAAGAGGGGACATAACTTGGTGAGGTGAGGAGGGCACGGCGCGTGCGCCGGGTAAGTCCTAAGCCGGAGTGACAGTATTCGAGCTGGTCACGAGACACTCCAAGGTGTCCAGTCTTTAATGTCAGACTTTCGCCCCACCCTGCTCCAGCTTGCGCTAGACCCTGGACTCGACGATGACCACGGTCACCCCGCAAGATGATAGAACTTCTCTTGGTGAGCTTTGAAATGGTCCAATTTCGAGCTTCAATCTGTGTCAATTGTCGTCATTTCATGGTGACACAGACCTGACGAAGCCCAACGCGAGCATCGTCTTCGCGAAATCACCACTCCCTCTGATCAGCGACGGCTCACCCCTCGCGCGACCAGACCACCTGAGCTCATGACCTCTCGATAGCATGCCGCAGAAGAAACGTGGCGGCGGCGGCAGCACAGAAGATGGAGATCGAAGCGAACAGGCAGACGTTGTCGCTCCAAAGCGACAGCGTGTCTCTCTAGCGTGCGATGCCTGCAGGGTGGCTCGCGAACGGTGCGACGGTGAACGACCCCAGTGTGGAACTTGTGTCTCCCAAAGGAGAGCCTGCTCGTATACTCCCACAGCAAAGAAACGCGGAGTACAGACCGGCTATCTGAGGACAATTGAGATGTCGCTGGCATGGATTCTCTACGAAGAAGCGCCCACAACCGAGGACGCGCTCCTCCGGCTGTTGCAAGACAAGAGTGGCCCGCTACATAAGAAGGGCAAGGCTGCCGATAAGTTGCACAAGAAATGGACAAAGAGTAGGGTCAACAAGGAGATAGGACTGTTTCTTTCTGGGTCTACACCACAGCCGTCCCGAGACGATAGTTCGGACAACGAGTCGGACACTGAGGGGAATGGCGAAGGCACGTCGTCAAACTTTGATGCCCAAGACCAATTGAACAACTCAGCGTCACCGTTTCTGCAAAGGGAAGGAACCGAAATACCACGATCTTCCTTGCTGAAACTCCCGAGGGATTGGCGCCGGCTGTTCGACATCTATTTTACATACACTCATTGCTGGTTCCCCATCCTCAACCGGGATCGGATTCTGGAGACGGCACTTGCTTATCCACCTGAGGGGATTCCTGGACCTTCTTCTCTCATGGATGTCGCCCCAGGCTACGCCGAGCTCTGGGCTGTCTTGTCTCTCGCCTCTTTCCAGGACACGACCTTAGGCAAGCCAATGCAAGGCTCCATGTCACCCAAACAGATCTATGCGACTGCAAGGGGGCTCATACCATCTGAGGAAAGACAATTCGAACTGCCCCATCTACGTGCGTTGCTTCTACACTCGCTGGTCCTCATTGGCCAAGGCGCAGATCTGGCGGCTTGGATGCTCGTGGGAACAGCAACTCGACTCGCAATGTTCTTGCGGGGGACAGGGGCGTTGTACTCAGACGGCCTCGGCATCAACGAGACCACAGAGCGATCAGGGCGCATCGCCCTGGCAGCTTGCTTTGTACTCGACACGATCGCTGCCACAGGTCTGGGCCAACCAGCGTCGACACACGTTGGCCCTGCGAATGTCGACGCAGAAGCATTGGCAACGCCGGCGGCGGACGAGAGTTGGAGTCCCCTTGTTGGCTTTGGGCCGACGCAACCTGAGCACAGTCAACCTGGGCCACATGTCCAGCCGTTGAGGACCTTTCAACAATTATTGCGGTTCTGTCAGGTGCTCAGACGCGGGCTCGACCCAACCAGCCTCCAATGTCGCCAGACAACGAACGCTGCTGAGAGCATGGCTGAGGTTCTTGACCCGGTGTACTCATTCTGCAACTCTGTCATCTTTGGTGCTTCTACCCCACCAGTTCCTTCGGCATTTCTGCTGCAGATAGCCTTCTTGGCGATGACGACGCGACTATTCCAAAGTTTCCGCGGATCACTGCTGTCAAGCTTGACTGAAGCTGTCGAAGGCTGTATATCTTCATTCGGATCTTGTGGCACACCGCCCTTGGTCGTGGGTCTCATGGGCGTCGTGCAACGCTGCGCGCACCTGGGCAAGATGCACGATACGGAGCGAATCAAATGGCACACTACGCTGGAATCCTTGAAGGCTGTGTGGAGGAACGATGACTTGCAGCCATTGAACAGTGATGCTGGGCACATGGCCACGTCAAGACAATTACCTACGCGCCTCAACAATCACCAGGCACATATGCCCGGATATTCATTCTCTCAACAACCAAACATGGGGCCAGATTCACACGGCTTTCAAGTGGTTCACCCAATCGAGAGCCCAAGCACGTTACGGAGTCAAGCAATCACCAGTCCGAGTGGCCCTTTTCCGTCTTCCGCATCAATGCGAGGCTCTGGAGCGCCCGCAGGGATGTTCAGCGGAGTCACGGGCGTAGACCTCCGTGCGCAAGGGGTGGACTACGACGCGATACTGGAAGAACTCGGTTCCATTGACTGCACAGATGGGCTGGACATGGATCCGCAGTTCATGACAAACCTTGGCTTTGCCCCGGGTTGCGATCTGGGCGATATGCTGCAGGGTGAATTTGGGGGATAAGGAAGGCCAGCCAACCACGCATCCGGCAATTCAATCAAGAACTGCTCATGGAAACGCCCATCGGCCGGCAGACGTATTATCCTCCGGCACCCAGCATCCTTTGGCCGCTCGCCCGTGGGGCCTGACTCGTCAATCTGGGGTAGGGGGGAGAGGGATAAACCTTTAACCACCTCCTCCACAGCGGATGGAGCGAGCCGCACCCACCACGTTGCTCTCTCCGGATGCCTCATCGAAGACAAAATTCTTCAATGTTACCCTCAGGAGAGCATCCCCGCAACCCCAGAAACGTGGATAAGCTCTGGCGCCGAGACGAACGTGGGACTGACCCCAGCTCATTTGACAATACCATTACCAGTCTTGGCCTTTCGAGCAGAGGCTATATAGACTGTTGCCTCTAAGGGTCAAGGCAGTGTTCCTCATCCTTTTCCCAAGGACAGACACACCAGCATCCTGACTCCCAACCAACGCGGTCCACCATGTCGATCCTCACTCTCAAGGAGGACAGGCCTACACCTAAGGCCGTGTACAACTGGCGCGTCTACATGTGCGCCGCCGTCGCCTCATTCGCAGCATGCGTCATCGGCTATGACTCTGCCTTTATCGGCACAACACTCGCCTTGCCCTCCTTCACCGAGGAGTTCAGATTCGCCGACTACTCGGAGGATGGCCTTGCACTTCTCAAGCAGAACATTGTCTCCGTCTACCAGGCTGGCGCCTTCTTTGGCAGCTTGGCAGCCTATGCCACCAGTCACTTCTGGGGCCGCAAACTGTCCCTCGTCGGGTTCACTGTCATCTTCTGCATCGGTGCCGGCATCATGCTGGGCGCGAATGGCGACCGTGGTCTCGGCCTCATCATTGGTGGTCGCGTCCTCGCCGGTTTCGGCATCGGTGGCTGCTCCAACATGACACCCATCTACATTTCCGAGCTGTCTCCCCCTGCCGTGCGCGGTAGGCTCGTCGGTATCTACGAGCTGGGCTGGCAGATTGGCGGTCTCGTCGGCTTCTGGATCAACTATGGCGTCGACAGCACCATGGAACCCAGCCGCACGCAGTGGCTCATTCCCTTTGGCGTCCAGCTGATTCCTGCCGGCATCCTGCTCATTGGCGTCTGCTTTATCCCGGAGTCGCCTCGTTGGCTCTTCTCCAAGGGCCGCCGCGATAAGGCAGTCAAGGTGCTGTGCTGGATGAGAAACCTTGAGCCTACCGACGTTTACATTATCGAGGAGATTAGCTTCATTGACGCCGACCTCGAAAAGTTCCGCCGTGAAGTGGGGGCCGGGTTCTGGAAGCCTTTTGTCTCCCTCAAGGACAGGAAGATCCAGCAGCGCTTCCTCATCGGTGCCCTTCTGTTCGTCTTCCAGAACGGATCAGGCATCAACGCCATCAACTACTACAGTCCCACGGTATTCAGGAGCATTGGCATCACGGGCACAAACACTAGCTTCCTCACCACTGGCATCTTTGGCGTCGTCAAGACTGTCCTCACGTTTGTCTGGCTCCTCGTCCTCATTGATCACATGGGCCGTCGTCTCCTGCTCATGATTGGCGCTATTGGCGGCTCGCTCTGCATGTGGTTCATCGGTGCCTACATCAAGATTGCCGGCGCGGGCAACCAGACTACCGACGCCAATGGCGACAGCTCACTCTCCAGCGGAGGCATCGCGGCCATCTTCATGTTCTACCTCTGGACGGCCTTTTACACGCCGTCCTGGAACGGCACACCCTGGGTTCTCAACTCGGAGATGTTTGACCAGAACACGCGCTCCCTCGGCCAGGCCAACGCCGCCGCCAATAACTGGTTCTGGAACTTTATCATTGCCCGTTTCACGGTCAACATGTTCAATGCCTGGGGCTACGGCGTGTACTTTTTCTTTGCCTCCATGATGATCATCTCCATCGTCTTTGTCTTCTTCTTTGTGCCCGAGACCAAGGGTATTCCCCTCGAGGCCATGGACCGTCTCTTTGACGCCAAGCCACGCTGGAACGCCAACAAGATTCTCATGGACGAGCTGCACAGGGAAAATGGGGATGAAGATGGCCATGACGACGCGAAGCTGACGCAGGATCATTTTGAAGGAAATGGAAAGCAGGTTTAGATGGGAGACTCGTAGACCGCTAGCTACAGAATACATCGCTGTTCTGCGCCGCTTTTTATCACGCTTCACCACGCTTTTTCAATGTCTGCATGTGTCACGGGAGGGGCTTGAGGCGATTGTATGCCGGGTCTTGGGTTATAAGCCATTCGCACTGTCAAGTCCGTGCAGATACTCACTTTTGGCGCCATGGTACGACGGCACCCCTTGGTCTGCAACAAGATGTTTATAGTCCTCAGCTTCGTCTTAGATAGTCATAAATCTGATTTTGGACATTGCATTTGAGCGGAAAACCCGCCAACAGTGACCATGACATGATAGTCTCATCATTTCTGCCTTTGCAATCGAATCCAAGCCTGAGTATAACAAGTGGATGGAATAGTCAAGTCGGCAGACACGCAAGCAATGGCACCAAAAGAAAGATCCCTTTCAATTATACATAGTTTCATATTTTGTCTCCCCTATGTCTCATTGAAATCCTCGTTTCTGATCACAGTTTCGCCATCCTGGCCGCGACCTTGTCCGCAATAGCAGCCTTGACATCCTCGACAGGCAGCTCACTCAACTCCCGCCCCGTCCAATACCGATCCTGCTCAAGGCCCTGCCATATCAATGCCTCCGTGCCCAAGATCACCTGCCACCCCATGCCCTCGGCCAGCTTGCCCAGTTCTGTGAACGGCGTCGGGTTATAGCACATTTCCAGCATGGCGCCCTTGGCGGACGCGTCCTTGGAGAGGAAGATGGTCGTGATGGAGCGCGCGAGGATTTCCTCCAGTGTGGTCGGCGGGAAATCCGGCACGCAGGCGACAATGGCGCCAGGGTGTGCGAGTTGTCTTGCCTGGGCTTCTGTCGACACGTGGATCAGATCTTGGCCGTATCCCCGCGCCTTGCAGTCCCTGATCACGGCCTCCACCTCGCTCGCTTCGCGATTGACGAGGTAAATGTCTGTAACCTGGAGGAACTTGCGCAGTGCGTACACTGCGCTCCTCGCGGCACCGCCTCCCCCGATGACCAGGGCGGGTTTGTCGTGGTAGACTTGCTCAGGGTGGGGCACGTTGTAGATGAAACTGTTCTTGATGCCGAGGACGTCAGTGTTGGCGCCGCAGAGGAGGCGACGGGACGGATTAGAGGGATGTGGACGGGTGAAGAGGGTGTTGCAGGCGCCGACGTCGCGGCATTCCTGTGTGAGGATGTGGAGATGGGGCACGATGGCGACTTTGTTAGGCATGGTGACGGACGCGCCTGTGTATCTGGTCAGTCATGATTCTTTGTACCATGTCCATTGTACGCACCATAAAAGTCGGGGTGTTGGATCAGTTTCAAGAACAGATCCACGTCTGCAGAGTCTAAGCGCACCTGGCCCCAGTTGAGACCGAGATGACTGTATATCACATCGTGTAGGAATGGTGACCATGAGTTTGTGAGCTTCTGGCCAAAGAGGAAGCCATGCTTCTCCAGAGGCGCAACCTCATCGACCAAAGCTGGTGGCAGTGTAGCGGAAGAGGAGATGATGGGCACCCCCTCGGGAGATGTAGAATTCTGTAGTGATCTCTGCATGATTGTCATAATGCGAGCCTTGACTCAGTGTTCATGATATATTGGATCAACAAATGAAAGGCTGGCGGTTGGGCTGCCTCATGTATGTGCGTTGAGTGCATGTGGACTGTGCCGGCGTTAGCGACTATGCGCGCTCGCTCTCAAGGCGCGAATATCCCGGTCCAGGATGTTCGACTTCATCCACTCAAATGATAGGCAAAGTCTTCTTCAGGATAAACGGAAAAAGAAAAAGCAGTCGGGGTGGTAATGCAACCCTGGCGATCCACCTGCATGCATACCCGCTCCCCACCGGGTAAGCATTTATCAGGGCAGCATGACGACCAGCTTCATCCACCAGACGTCCAACAGTGTATCTGCATCTGCAGACCACTTCCCACAATAAATACAGGGTTGGCAAGGGTGGGAGACAGCTGTATATATCCTCATACACAGCAATCGCGTAAAGATATAGCCACCCAAGCCCGACACCAACCGTCTCCAGCCGTCACGATCTGACACCCTCACGTATGCAAGCCAGAGGCCAGATGATGTCGATGGATTATCATGGATCAATGTTTTGGTATCGATGGAGCCCATGGTGTTGTTATCTATGTCAGCCCCGTTAGGCGTCACCAGGTTCTCGCCAAGTGCCAGTCTTATATCTGCTTCAAGCCACTAAGTTAGCGTCTTACATTACACATCGACCTTGTGTGTAAACAGTTTTATTCCCATATCTCAGTGACTCGCTCACTCTATTTCTATAGACTAGCACTTGTTTTCTCAACACTACTGTCATCACTGCCATCACTGCTCACATCACCATGGCGCACAAACCAGCCATCTGTACCATGTCCTTGGGCCGGTCCTTTGCTGGCCACTCACTCCCCTACAAACTCACGCAAACCAAAGAACATGGCTTCCAGGGCATCGAAGTCTTCTACGAAGATCTCATTGACCTCACAATTTCGATGCCTGGCGGCGAAGCCCTCATCGACAACCAGCTCGCCGCCGCGAGATCGTTCAAAAACCTCTGCGAAGAAAGAGGCCTTGAGATTATATGTCTCCAGCCCTTTATGCACTTTGGAGGTCTGATTGACAGCGAGAAACAAGAAGCACAGATCCACGATATCAATCGGTGGATTCAGCTAGCCCACACCTTAGGCACGGATCTCATTTGTTTCCCCAGCTCGTTTCTCCCAGCTCCCCAAATCACAGCCGACATTGACACCATTGTCCACGATCTTCAAAGAGCGGCCGACTTGGGCCTTGCCTCCTCGCCGCCTGTTCGGTTCGCCTACGAGGCTCTGTGCTGGGGAACACGCATCTCCACATGGGAAGATTCCTGGGATCTCGTCCAGCGCGTGGACAGGGAGAACTTTGGCATATGCTTCGACACATTCAACATTGCCGGGCGCATCTTTGCCGACCCTGCCGTCAAAAGTGGCAAGTGCGAGAATGCCGAGGAAGCTACTCTTCAATCTTTGAAGCGACTCGTGAAGAATGTCGATGTCAAGAAGGTGTTCCTACTCCAGGTCGCAGATGCAGAACGCTTGCACGAACGTTTGGATCAAAGACACGCCTTCCATAGCGCGGACCAGCCCGCTCGGATGAGCTGGTCAAGAAACTGCCGCTTGTTCTATGGCGAGTCGTCACACGGGGCATATCTGCCTGTCAAGGCTGTGCTTGCCGCTGTCGTCAGGGGATTGGGTTTCCAGGGTTGGCTCAGCTTCGAGGTGTTCAATCGACGGCTGGCGGATCGCGATACGAGTGTACCAGAGGAGATGGCCAAGAGGGCAAGTGTGGCGTGGGAAAAGATGGTCAGAGAGGTGCCCTTGGACGTGAGGCCCACCACCACAAAGCGGGCCACTCCTGTATCGGTACAGCACCGCTTATCAGCTATGCTGTGAGGAAAATCCGCATTTTTTTTCTTTTTCTTTCAAGTACGTATTATCATAGCCTAGCCTTAATTTTGAGATGCTTTGCCGCAAATTCCAACGCCGCCGTGTACCCGTACACCCCCATCCCACAGATCACCGCCGCCGCCTTGTCGCACAAGTAGCTGTGTCTGCGAAACTCTTCCCTCGCGTGAACGTTTGAAACGTGTATTTCGACAAAGGGGGTTTCCACGCCTAGCAGAGCATCGCGGATCGCCACGCTGGTGTGCGTGTAGGCGCCTGCGTTGATGATGATGGCGTCGACATCTCCGCGTGCAGCCTGGATGCGATCGACGATGGCACCCTCGTGGTTTGACTGAAAGGTTGACAGCTTGACGGAGAGGGCAGTGGCCTGCTCTTGGGCCGCGGATTCCACATCGGCGAGGGTCGTTGAACCGTAGGTGGCGGGCTCGCGGGTGCCGAGGAGGTTGAGGTTGGGGCCGTTTATGAGGAGGATGTGGCGGGACATGCTGACGCTACTTCTTCCTTTTCAGATGGAAGAAAGCTTGGAACCATCGAGGTTCTGTCTGCGATATATCAGTCCGTGACTTCCACTTCACTCACAGGTGAGCTGTGCCAGGGCACTAACACCACATCCCGGAGGGGCCCACACCAACAGCCTCCACGTCCACAGCGGTAAAGCATTCATCCCACTCCCATCTCCTCCTCCTCACTCGATCGCTGTGGAGAATCCCGCCATCTGCGTACCCATGTCCGTCATCGTCCCAGAACCCAGCGACCACGGAGCCTTGTGCCACGGCTGGCTTCGCTTACCGTCGCCATTTTCCGTGGGATGATCTGCTCGACTATCGACATATGATTCGAGCTTCTCACTGTCACTCAGTCTCCATACTGCGTCCCTGCCCTCACTCACAATGGCAGACATATCACAGCAACAGCTTGATGAGATCTATGCCTTTGCGGTACAGCTAGGCAAAGATGCGGGCCAGATGCTCATGGACGCAGCTCGGCGTCGGATGCAAGGCAAAGACGCCACGACCATCGTAGACTACGTCGAGAAAGAGAACTCGGTCGACCTCGTGACCAAGACAGACAACGGTGCGTCTTCCTCGCATTGTGCTCACACCATTCCATGTCACTCACAGTCCCAGACGTCGAGGCCTTTATCCACAACGCCGTCGCGAAGAAATACCCAGACCACAAGTTCATCGGCGAGGAGACCTACTCGGCTGGTGCTTCGCGCGCCTACCTCATCGACGCGGCTCCGACATGGATCGTCGATCCGCTCGATGGCACCGTCAACTTCACCCATCTCTTCCCCATGTTCTGCGTGTCCATCGCCTTTGCCATCGACGGTCACCCCGTCATCGGGGTGATCAACGCGCCGTTTCTTCACCAGACCTTTTCATCCTGTCGCGGCAAGGGTGCTTGGCTCAACGAGACGCAGCGGTTACCATTGATCCGGAATCCAGTCCCTGCTCTACCGGCCAATGCGCCCAGTGGGTGTACGTTCGCATGTGAGTGGGGCAAGGACAGGAGAGACACGCCCGAAGGGAACATGATACGCAAGATCGACTCGTTCATGAACATGGCAGCCGAGAGAGAGGGTAGAGGCGGCAAGGGGGGGATGGTGCATGGCGTGCGCAGCCTTGGAAGGTGAGTGTGCCGGATATGATACTTTGGGCAGTTAACTGACGAGCAGTGCGACTATGGATCTTGCATACACAGCAACGGGCTCGATAGACGTATGGTGGGAAGGTGGATGCTGGGAATGGTATGTTAGCCCGCGAGCCTTTGAAGCTGAAGTATCCTGACGCTGCCAGGGATGTTGCTGCTGGCATTGCGATTCTCGAGGAGGCCGGAGGCTTGATCACAACAGCGAATCCGCCAGCAGATTTCGAGACAGCTGACATCCCGCCTGTCAAGCTGGGGAGCAGGCTATATCTAGCCATACGGTAAGAGGCGATTGGACTTGCACCTAACCAAGACACTGACCAGTCGCAGGCCCGCTGGCGACCACCCTGACGAGACTGCCCGACAATCACAGCACAGAGTTGTGCGCGAAACCTGGAAGCGAGTGCAAGAGTTGAGCTACAGCCGACCTGGCGTATAAGCCATAATGAAATACTGTTTTACACACATGTGTCCATGTATCCGACCCAGCGTTCACTTCGAATCACCTCATTTCTGATCCAGCTCTTCCATGCGGGTGATGAACTGCTCCTGCAACCGTTGGAGGTACCCTGGCAGCACGCTCGGGTCCGTCGCATCCTTGGCTTGCTTGAGTGCCTCATGTAGATTCAGGATCAGCCTGCGACGTGCCATGAGACTACGTGACTCGGAACTTTGCTGGTTCGCCGCTCGTTTTGTCCGCAAGTAGTTTGCCACCTCTTCAGCCTTGTCGGTGAATGACTTTGGCAGGCCTACGGCCCGCGCCAGATTGATGCCGTAGTGAATCTCGTCGTCCATGTATCCGGAATCAACCTTATACAGCATAGTGATTTGAGGCAGTCCATCTGGAGTGACCGTATTGCACGCCAACAGATGGAGGTTGAGAACCCCAGGTCTTTCTGCAAGCGCACGTGCCAGCTCGATGAAGTGCGTAGCGAACCAGACGGACGCCTTGCTCTGAATCAGAGCCTCGGACATGGCTATGGCAATAGCCAGTCCATCACTACTACTCGTCCCTCGACCGAGCTCGTCTACAATGGCAAGACTGCGGTCGTTGATGTTACGCAGGATGAATGCCATCTCCTGCATTTCGACTGAGAAAGTGGACAGATTTGACTCGATACTGTCGTCCATAGATACTCGAGCAAACATTTGGTGAATAATGGAGAAAGCGGCGTATTCAGCTGGGACGAATGACCCTATCTGGGCCATAATCTGAAGCAGCGCAATGCTGCGGATGTAGGTGCTTTTACCACTCATGTTGCTGCCTGTGACAATATGAAAGCAGTATTGCTCGGTCGAGTAGTAATCGTTCGGGATGAACTCAGCGCCGTGCATCTGTCATCGTCAGTATTATCCTGCAAGTACAAGCTTGAGACTTACTTTACCTTGTCACGGATGGGATGTCTGGCCGCTTTGAGGGCCAGAGTGCCAGCAACCTCGGGCTTGACATAGTCTCGCGTGGTTGCTAACTGACCAAAAGAAGCAATCATGTCTACCAGGGCCACTGATTCGCACACCCGGAAGAACTGAGGCGCTTCCAAGCGGATGTCTGCAATCAGCTCGTCGATGACCGCGTCACTCCGAATGACAACCTCATTAGACGTATCGGACAGTCTGAGGTTTAGCTTGATGAGATCCAGTGTCTGGCACTCGAACTTGTCTCGTTTGCGCACAACATTGACAAAGCAGCCTGGTAGCTGGCCGCCGTCAAAATCTGATGCTTTGATCCGAAGCCAGTATTTGCGGCCGTTGTCAAACTTCAACGCTGCCGCTGATTTGAATCTCTCATTCAACTCGTCCACATGCTTGTGAATCTCCTCTGTCAACTCCTTATACGTCTGTCGCGCGACGTCCAGCATGCCACTGATGCCAGCTTTGACGGCAAATGTTCTCTGGTTCCTCAGGTCTAGAGGGGACCTCGTGAACGTTACATCGGCTTCGATGACCTGTCGAATGCGGTGAAGAGCTCTACCGGTGATTTCAGGGTGGCATATGTCGCGCGCTTTGGTCAGCAATGGGCTTCTGGCTGGCACAAGAGCTTGATATAATTCAGGAATGGCTTCGAAAAAGCTCTTCATCATCAGCACCTGATTGATCTGTTCCTCGACGTGGCGAAGATCGTTGTTCGTGTTTACTTTTATCAACTGGCCAAATCAGCAAGGGTATAAAACTAACAGATTGAAGGCTCACTTTGGTCAGCAACTTTTCAACATCGTTGAATGCCTTTAGTGCTAGTATTGTCAACCCTGGTTCTTGATTACTGGATGATGCACTTACCTCTCCGGACATCCTGGAACAATTCTTCGTTCGTTGTGAGCTCTTCCAAAGCGTCGTGCCGAGGCCTCACAACGGCCTCAACATGCGTTGGGGGTTGCAGCATATTCCGTCGAAGCATTCGGGTTCCCATGGGCGTGGTAGTCTGATTTAGGAGCCCAAAGAGAGATTCCTTCGATTTGGGGTCCCGGGCATTCTGCATAATCTCCAGAGACTGAAACGCTGAAATATCAATCATCATGGTTCCGTCTGAGGGCTGGTAGCTGATTCGGAGAGAATGGGGCACAAACGTGATTGCAAATTGGTGCTCGATGTACTTCATGGCCTGTCACCATCATTAGTCGTGGAAGATACAATGCCCAGACCTTGAATGACTTACTGCACAAACCGACGAGGTAGCATAGTATTTCTCTTGGATAGCCACTGTCAAGGGACTGACGTCGGTCTCAAATGCAAGGTTCCGGAGCAAGTCTAGACCTGACGATGCAGCCCAGGCGGCCCTGTCATAGAGATCGATCCTTGCCTCAGGAATTAAGTTGTTCACCAGGTCGTATAGCGTGCTTGGTCGACTGGGTGGGCATGCTGTGGACATGAATATAATCCTAGTCGGCTTGTTCATCTGAATCTCGTGTATGCTTTTGAAATAGGACTGGTTATCGCAGATTTGACTCATCGTGACTTTGCCGAGCGTAACATTTACAAAGGCAACGCCCACGGACCGTGTCACGCCGCGCGCCTCGCTGACGGCACATATGATGGTCTCGCTCTCGCTCTGCCCGAGGATGGTTGACGCGCTGGCGCGAGACTTGCGTCCAGACGCGGTCGTCGCACGCGTCGGAGGCCTGGTGGTCGACGGGCGCGAAACACCGGGGCTGGAGGACACTGTTGAGTGAGCATATTCACTAAAATCAGCTGCGTCAAAGAGCAGCGGACGAACACTTCTTGAAGAGCGATTGTGGAATTCTGCTGCGCCTGTAGATGGGTTGGATAAATGGGAGAGAAGCTCGTCGGGCAGAGAGTGGACGGCAAAACCTAACGGCTGCTTGCGTTTGAGTGTGTTGGAACGATGGCGTTGTCGAGACATGTCCGCGGACAATCCACGTAAATTTACGATGCAGGATAGTCAATTGTCACGTCTCAATGTTCAAGGTAGAGAGAGTGGAAAAATCTTTAGTTCGCTATCGGAACACCTTGACTCTATGGACTGTGCGTGGCCTTGTTTGCGAAGGAAGGAGCGTAGGGTATGCTGCAACAAGGGAAGAACAACGAAGCCGCCGGCGATGTTGGAGCCTGGAGGCTCCTGCCCGAATGGCAAATGCCGGATTGGAAGCAGCAGCCCCACTTGTGATTTGGACGGACTCCAAACGGGGAATCCAGTCGTCACCGCAGAATCGCTCCACATTCCCTGCAATGGGAACTTGACACCATCCAGGCCAAAGATTTACACGTCCGCCCGCTATCAGCACCATCGACGGACATTGAAACGCGCCTCGCGTATCTTTCCCCTCACCATGTTCGGCATCCTGGAGGCAGTCTCCGTCCCGCTTACTGGACTGTACACCACCTACGACGACCTGATTCGCGACTTAAGCGATCGTGCGGCTAAGGATGGATACAAAATCGTCAAGGCGCGGTCGCATCGCGCCCGCGTCAACGGAACGGAACAGAACTCGAGCGAGATGATCCGATGCGATCTCGTTTGTGATCGCGGTGGGCGCCCGTACAAGTGTCAGGCAACAAAGCACAAGACGACGACGAAGAAGACGAACTGTCCATGGAAGGCAAAGGCGGTTAATCGCAAGACAATGGGAGGCTGGGTATTGACGGTCGTCTGCGATCAGCACAACCATGAACCGGGGACACCAGAGCCACCGACACCGTCAGCGGCAAGTGACCCAGGGGCCGCACTGGACACTGATGGTATGTCCATAGAGTTTGTCCCGAGGGAGAATTCATCCGCTGACAATGATTTTTGCAGGCGATGAAGTAGGCCCTCGGGCCGATGTTGACACTTCGGAAGCGATGTTGGCTGCTGGCGTGCCAAACTCTACCATGCGTCTGACAGGCGACACGTTTTCAGGCTTCAAGGCCGAGTACCGCAAGCTGTCGCAACCGGAACGAATCGGCGTGCTCTCACAACTGCAACTGCGCGTTGCCGCGCTATATGCTATACAGAACGAGGAGGTCCAGCGGAACAAGCGACAGGAGCAGCAGCGGCAACGTCATCAGGAGATCGAAGCAACACGGATAGACCGACACGACGGGAAGAGGCAGAAGCGGCAGCAGGGCACGCCCGTGCAAAGACCGCCAACCGTCGACTCACCTCACCAACCGCCGACATTACAACACACGCCAACACTGCAACATACGCCAACGCTGCAACATACGCCTGTTCCAAACGAGCAAATGGCGCCGACTGCACCAATGCACGTCCAGCCGCAACAGATGCAACAGCAAATGACTCCAAGCCAGCAGCAGCATGTACAGCACCACCAACACCAGCAATTTCATGTCCAGATACCAGACAGCCCTAGTCAGCAGCTCATGTCTATGGGAATGAATCTAGGACTATCGCCGCCACCACCGCCGCCCCAGCAGCCATCTACACCATATTCCGGGCCGCCAAAGAAGATGCGCGGAAACCGGACCCCGCAAGCAGGGCAGCAGCCCAGTCCGACAGTTTAGCTTCAATACGGCTCTGATAGGCGATGACCGAATTGCCCGTCTCGGATATGGAGCCTAAGCGATATTTGCGACCAGTGACGGATATTAACATGATTTGATGAGCGTTCCAGGCGGCGTTATTGTAGCTGTACTAATTTGTACAGGGTGCGTGTTGGCGCGGCGAAGCTTGCTGGGAAGGCCTTAACAAATTTGGGTTGGCTGTCAGCGGAGACCTGATAGCGCAGCTCACCGCCTAAATTTTGGAAATTTTGCCGTTTTCTCGAGGATGCGGGAAAGAAACCCCACCATGGACGAAGCTGGGATTTCTGAATGATAACAATTCACCCATACTTGATACCCATTTCGTGATTCGAATGCCATGGCGACCGTCGTACCGCCCCCGTCCAAGAGACAGAAGCGCGCAGAGCTCGAGCGCAGTCAATTGCAACAGGATGTGACGTTGGCAAACGAGGGCCCTGCTGGCTCCTTCAAAGCCCACTTCATCGACGGCGATGGCAAGCAGATGGCCGATGTGATCGAGGTGCCCTTGAAAGATGCGTCGGAGAAGAACCTGTCGCTTCTGCTCAACACATTGATGGCGAGGGTGCGTATTCTTCCCGCTCGCACAAAGTGCGCGCTGACTGACACTGCGCCAGGACAAGGAGGATTTTCTGCCGTACCGTTTCCGCATACACATCCCCGACAGCGAGATCATTGTCGATCAATATCCCACCGATCTAGTCAAGCTTCTCCGCGATCATGGCATCGACAACCCATTCGAGACAACCGTCACACTTAGCGCCGAGCCGCAGGCCGTGTTCAAAGTGCAAGCCGTGACGCGCATGTCCCATAAAATCCCCGGCCATGGGGAAGCCATCCTCGCGGCCCAGTTCAGCCCCGCGAACAGCAGCAGGTTAGCGACCGGGTCTGGCGACAAGACGGCGAGGATCATGGACACAGATACGGGCACGCCCAGGTTCACATTGTCAGGACATACACATTGGGTTCTCTGCGTGGCGTGGTCCCCGGATGGCAAGAGGTTGGCGACGGGCAGTATGGACAAGACGGTACGGTTGTGGGACCCAGAGACGGGGAAACCCATCGGCCAGCCCCTGACAGGTCATGCCAAGTGGGTGACTAACATTGCGTGGGAGCCGTACCATCTCTGGAAGGACGCGCCGCGACTGGCGAGTGCGAGCAAAGATGGTACTGTCAGAGTGTGGAATGTGGTGACGAGCCGGTCGGAGCACGTCTTGTCCGGGCACAAGAGCAGCGTGAGCTGTGTCAAATGGGGTGGCACGGGGATGATCTACACTGGCAGTCACGACAAGGCTGTGAGGATATGGGACGCTGACAAGGGAGTTCTTTTGCACACCCTCTCCGCGCACGCACACTGGGTCAACCACCTGGCGCTGTCGTCGGACTTTGCGCTACGCACAGCGTACTTTGACCACGAGCCGGTGCCTGACTCGGAGGAAGGCAAAAGGGCCAAGGCCAAGGCACGCTTCGAAAAAGCCGTCAGAGTGCAGGGCAAAGTGGCCGAGCGGGTGGTCTCTGCGAGTGACGACTTCACCATGTACCTCTGGGATCCGTCGTCGGGGACCAAGCCTGTCGCTCGCCTGCACGGGCACCAGAAGCAGGTCAACCACGTCACGTTTTCCCCAGACGGACTCCTCATCGCCAGTGCGGGCTGGGATAACCACACCAAGATATGGAGCGCCAAGTGAGTTACAGTCCGAGGGGTCTTCCCCGAGTCCCCGATGGGTAAAAGCCATACTAACTCAAAGATAGGGACGGCCGCTTTATCAACACCCTCCGGGGACATGTAGCCCCCGTCTACCAGTGCGCCTTTTCCGCGGACTCCCGACTCCTAGTGACGGGGTCAAAGGACACGACGCTCAAGGTGTGGTCCATGGCGACGTGTAAGCTGGCAGTGGATCTTCCGGGCCACCAGGACGAGGTTTACGCCGTGGACTGGAGTCCCGATGGTACCAAGGTGGGGAGTGCTGGCAAGGACAAGGCCGTGCGACTCTGGTGCAACTGAGTGGTTGCTACGCAGTGTTAGGGGAGGACGGCGAAAAGCGAGTCTCTCGATGTTCAACTACAGAGTCCGTGGTGATTCAGCATGTAGCGATCGGTTTGGCCAGCGATGTAGAAGGAACAGTCTGGATATCCAGGAGCGAACAGAGTGGCAGACAACACTACGCACGAGAAGAAGACGGGGCGATCGGCCCTAAGAGGACGTATGCGCGCGCATATGTACTCTTCGAAGACTAATTAGAAGAAATGCACATTAGGCGGTGTTCAGTGTGCGATCGACGTGGCACTCGCGCAAGTTCTCGCACATCAAAGCTATCAACAATGGACTGTCCGCACGTGATTCTTTGCTGACCATGCCATTGCCATGCAGAAAGAAACACAAGAAACGCGCGCAGCAAAGACCTTGTCGAAACTTCTGCTTAATGCCGCGATCCGCTGGCGTATCGCCCTTGAAAAGCTCTACCCCTTAGGTGTCATACCGGCCAAGGCCGTTTGTTGGTGACGTTTCGCCCTGCATGACCGACGTTTCCGGCCCGTTCCCGAGCATGTCTCACAGAGAGTCGTCCGTGCCGGCATCTGAGTCATAAGGATCCGTCGATGATATTGTGTCGCAAGAAGAAACGAGAACATGGCGGAGCATTGGAGAAGACAAAGCCGTCTATGTCTGGGTTGAGTGGGGGGTGAGGGTTTGATCGTGTTGCGTGATGCTCATAAGCCCATCCCATGGTGTCTCCGCAGGGGACACCACTAAGCGTGAGTTGCGAGAGGGTTCACGGTGAAGAAGTAGATTTGTTGAGGAGTGAACTCCTCACCTCTTCACAGGGGAAATGATCAAGCGGGCCACTATCACTGTCTTGTCTTCTTCACCCTCTCTTTGCTCCCATTTCTGTCCCTTCTCGAGCGTCTTTCCCTCAGCCAGAGACACGTCAAGAGGCAATGGCAACAAAGTAATTTGGAGTGCAGGGCCGCGACGTGAGAATCCTCCAGATCGCTCTCATTATCGCGCCCTTCCTTCATCCTCTTTGTATACAACCAGGCGGGCATATGGATTAGTTAGCATTACAAATATTGCATAGTGTGAAATAGACTACAAGGGTTCGGATTTCATACCGTCTTTCACATAAGTTTAATAACTTGTAAACAGCATTTGGGAACGAGTGTATTAGATCATTCCGCTACCTTTCAACGCGAGTCCAGCCACCCATACTATTTTGCCGAGCGAACTAGATTAGTCCTTCGCCCGGACTGTCGATTAGGAAAGAGCAACTGCGCGAGCAGATTTGCCATGCCGATCATTCTGAAACAGAGGCGGCGGGACCCAATGGCCTGCCGTCAGGGGTAGAATCCAAAAATGTACATATGTGCGTATGGGTGCGTGCTGGTTCGCCGAAGGGTGTACAAACATCCACAAGCGCATCGCAGTAAAGATGATCCCGTCAGTATGTACGTTGTGGTGTTGTGATGCGCCTGCAAAGAGGATTAGAATACCCTTCAAATACCTTCCTTATGGAAGTCTTACTTATTGGAGGGTCACGAGGATGTTGCGGGCAGCCAGGCGTATGGCGTCGAGGTCACGTTTGGCCTTCCAGCACGGCTGTCCAGGGCGCTCGCACCAGGCTTCAGCCTCAGCATCAGCGTTGGCCTCGGCGTCGCGCTTCCAGCAAGATTGACCGGGACGCTCGCACCAGGGCTCGGCGTCGCGCTTGGCGAACTCGGGGTCGAAGGAGCGGGTGGTCAGGTCGCGGATCTCGTTGGGGCTGGTGGCCTCGAGGACAGCGTCAGCGGCGCGCTTGGCCTTCCAGCAAGACTGGCCGGGACGTTCGCACCAGCGCTTGTCTTCGGTGGCGGCCTGCTCGGCAGCCTCCTCACCGCCTTGCTCGGCGCACTTCTCGGGGTAGTAGTCGCAGAAGTAGGGAGCGCAGCGGTTCATAGATTCACACCAGGGCTCAGGCTCGCGCGTGTTCAGGACAGTGTCGCGGGCAAAGTGGCTCTCGAGGTTGAGGTCGTTGTAGAAAGCGTCGGGGGACTTCTTGGTCAGGGCGACGAGGTGGGCCAATTCATCGTTGACGCGCTTGGCGTTGAAGGAAGCGCCCCCGGGGAGGTTGCTGGCGTCGGCCTCGGCGGAGCGAGCCCCGAGGGCGCCCTCGCCAAAGTGGGCAGCAAAGGCCTCGGCAGCGCGCTTGACCTTCCAGCATGACTGTCCGGGACGTTCGCACCAGGCCTCGGCCTCAGCCTCTCGCTTGGCCTTCCAGCATGGCTGTCCAGGACGCTCACACCAGGCGTCAGCATCAGCATCAGCATCAGCGTCTGCGTCTGCCTCAGCCTCAGGCTCGGCTTCGGCATCGCGCTTCCAGCAGCTCTGGCCGGGGCGCTCACACCAAGCATCGGCCTCTGCGTCAGCCAGAGCCTCAGCGGCGCGCTTGGTCTTCCAGCATGACTGGCCGGGACGCTCACACCAAGCCTCAGCCTCGGCGACACGCTTGGCCTTCCAGCAAGATTGTCCGGGACGCTCGCACCAGGCATTCGCCTCGGCCGCGCGCTTGTGCTTCCAGCACGACTGCCCAGGGCGTTCACACCAGGCGTCGGCCTCGGCGTCGGGCTCAGCGTCACGCTTCCAGCACGACTGTCCAGGGCGTTCACACCAGGCATCGGCCTCCGCGTCGGCTAGAGCCTCAGCAGCACGCTTGGCCTTCCAGCATGACTGGCCGGGACGCTCGCACCAGGCCTCAGCATCGGCGACGCGCTTGGCCTTCCAGCAGGATTGTCCAGGACGCTCACACCAGGCCTCGGCGTCGGCCTCAGGGGCGAGAGCGGGAGCAGGGGCAGCCCAGACGGCCGCAGCCATGGCTACCATTGCGTAGGTGAACTTCATGATGAAGTTTGGTGGGAGAACTTGTCTCGCAAAGAGTGTTGCGGGTTGGGTTTGTTATTTGTTTGTTTGAGAGGCACTCGTCGGGTGTGTCACTTGTCGTTGTCTTGTCCAAGGTTGGAAACTCTTCTTTGGTGGGAACGAGCCTGGGGAGCAAAATAAGGTCGGGTCGTTTCGAGGGACGGCGATGGTGGTTTTATAAGAAACTGGCGAGAAGAACAGCTTCCTGAAGCTGTTCAAGCATGTTAGGAAGCTATTTCGGTGGTGGTCATCAGATCGATGCTCTCTGCCACTCCCTCAAAGCCTTTGTCGTTATTGAGGGCGGTTCTCAATAGAGGTCCCAGACACCAAATTGAGCCCCTCACAGGCCACAACACAGTGTATGAGTTCATCTTGTCGGCTGAAGCTGCAGGTACAAATGGCAAGGCTCGCGATGCACACCAGATGAGCACGTTCAGGAGGGTCGATGTGAGCTTGGCCTCGCCTGTCTAAGGCAGCGCCTGCATGTTGGCGGCAAAGAGGGTGGTTGATCTTTAGAAGCGGAAAGGGAACAGCCTCCTTGTAGAGTCCTTGAATAACGTTCAAGCACGGCTGCCCTCCTTTCTGTGTTTCCCTTGGTTCGTTGACCTACTCCTCGGGGCAATCTCCTGTGATGACCATAGGCGAACGCTGTCCAGCCCCAACCTCGAGATTCTGCTCACTTGTGCCATCATGGCAATTGAATGCGAACGCTGAGAACGATCATGTTGCGGGCCAGAACCTCGGTCTAGAGCGTAGAATTACCCAGTGTGAAGAACAGGCACTGAAATGTTATTCAGGGTCTATTGACGCCCCAAAGGGGAACCGGTCAATAACGCCGCCACCTCCCGCCACACCGGCCGATTGAGTTTAGTCTGTCACTTCATGGTTCTTCAGCGAATCAAGACGATTGCCCCAGCGAATTTCTGAACATGACCGTACTGAAATGTGACTGCATCGGCTTTTGGAGGAAAGTCTTTATTCAAAGCTTTGGACGTACCGGGTCGACAGTCTCGTGCAGGTCGTAGTCGCATGGCAGTGACCCACGCTTACTGACTGGCCGGCGCTGTGTGATATCCAAGAAAGAAAAGTCGATTGCAGAGTGCGATTCTCATCGCCCCGATCAAAGCCACGTCTGCGCACCTCTGCATCTGAAGTGAGATGGAAGTGATCTGGCATGATGAACCTGCCCCACGGTGAGCCACGTTGCGGAAGGAGGCACAAGAGACGGTTCTTACAGTTGAAAGTGTTAGTTCCTGTTCTCTTTGGTTCTCTCGCAAATGTGATGGATATGGCGCCCATGTGGCGCTTCGCGCAAAAACTTCCTCGCAAACATCAGGACGTCGAAGACTAGACTCACGAGTGAGCTCGCGAGCTCGTCGTTGAATCAATGATCAATGATAGATCCCAACTCCTTGGGTTATTCAGACCACGATCTTCACGCATGGAAGTTCCAAAATGGCTCGCCAAAGCTATGCGAGGGGTTTTGTTACCACCTTGAACCCCGGAGCGTGTGGCTACATGAGCGGCCAATCTGCTGATCGGCCAGAAACATATCCTTGAATGGCAGTGGGCACATACTTGGATACACTAACGGGATTGTGCTTCCAGTGCGGCCATCTTTGGAAGGGACCGCCAAGGCCAAAACCACGGATCTTGAGTCTCGCTCCTCGTCACATTGAGCTGTGCCCGAGACAATAGACTCGGTTAGACATCCGCCGCATATGACCATTCCTTGCGGCGTAAAGACAGTGCCCTTGTGTTCAGCATCGATTCGGCCACGCCATCCTAGCGCTTAGGCATCCACTGGCGACGGTACCTTTTCGAACACCGGGAGGATGATTGAGCAACGGTGTACAGGTAGACATGACGGCGTGGTTTGCGTGAGGTGGTGATGTCGATGGTCATCTTGGAAAGAAGGCGAACCCGGGACTGCCTACAGATCACGTGACCCCAAGCTCAAGCGTCCCTGCGTCGCGTTGCTCCACTGCAGTCAGTCGCCTGTCCCTCGTCTTCCTTTACATGGTCCAGCCAACATTGAGCCCGACTCCTTAACCCCGACCGATTGTCGACGTATTCGCACCCTCCACCTGCGTACTTGACGATCCTTCACACGTGTTCGGGCGTATCGGCGTCTCGCCACGAGCAGCATCCATCTCCGACCTGTTTTGCATCTCGACCATCACTTCCGCCGGCAACTCGACGCCAGACCCTGCACTTGTATCGTTCTGCGACTGCCGTTCCACGTCTTCCAGGCTGTCATTCCCGCTCGACGCGTAGGCCTCGTACATGGTGTGGCGACGACCTTGATATAGATGCTCCCGCGGTGTCATGATGGCGGCCGCCTGGGAGCTCCCTCTGCTGCGCTTCTGGTGTACCCTGCCATCGGACCAGTCCGGGCTTCTCCATGCGCTGTCAGGCACCCCATCGGCCCCACTAGGACTCGAGCTCGACTCGCGGTATCCTGTGGTCATCTCCTTGAGCCTGTTCAGTATTGGGAACTCCATCTTCAGCTTGACGCTGTACACCAGGCCCTTCCACGACGTCTGCAGCGCGTAGCGGCGCGCGTACTCGAGCCCGAGGATCGTGCAGTCGAGAAGGATGATGATGACATTGATCGTGATCAGATAACCCATGAGCCGCCTCGAACGCTCGCGGTTCTGCTGTACCGCTGACTGCAGTCGTGCCATCTTGATGGTCTCGGCGATGTAAAAGGACGAGATGATGAGCTCCTGGAGGAAGAAGATCGTCACCTGGATCTTCTCATATACGCTGTAGACACCGACGAACGGCGCGGGATTGCTAGAATTCGCGCCGTACGCCATGGTGCCGGTGGGAATGTGCATGGTGATGGCGTTGAAGATGATCATATACAGGATCCACCGCAGCTTGTCGGGGTCGCGCAATACGAGATGCAGCCGCGAGTACAGGACCATGGACTGGCCCGTGACCATGGCCATCCAGCCGAGGACGATAAACGTCACATAGATGTAGGGGCTCGGATGGTGCGGGCTCGACTTGGTCTTGATGATGAAACCAATCGCGTACACGAGGATGCCGTACGTCGCGACGATGAACGACCAGAAATACAGCCCCAAGTGTCGCTTGAAGTAACCCCAGATGATAAACGTCAGCTCGATCGTGTTGTAGATGGCGATGCAGTCAAAAACAATGACAATATAGCCTAGAGCGCCGTCAAGGGGAGGCCCGACGACGACCCCGTTGTCGCCCTCGACGGACTCCATCACGCTCTGGAGAGGCGAGGTCACCTGCTCGGTGGATGGCCGTGTTGATGAGTCGGGTTCATCGTCAGTCCACCATGGGCGCAACAAATCTGGATGGTGCGGATGGTGGGTTCTAAGTATCCTATCGAGGTCATTGGCGAAGCTTGGGTCGGATTGTCTCGGACTAGAACGGCATGCCATCGTCGATTCCTCCAGTCCACGAGAACAGACTTTCTCGCGAAAAGGTACCCGCAACCACTGAGGACGATTGCGTGCCAACAAACTGCTCAACAGAAGCACTTACTCCGTTCCGTTGTCGCCGGCCACTCACACCGGCGGGTGATCTGCGAATACCGGTCAAGTTGCTAATTAACCCCAGAAACCAGCGTGAGCTAAATGTCCCATTCTAGACAGTGAGACACCCAACCACCCCCCATCAGGGCGATTGCCGGCCCTCATTGGCAAGTTCCCTGCAGACTGACTGACTCGCGCGGCCAGCCAGCCAGCTACCGTAGGTTCAGTTCAGAGCTACGGATGTGAGCACGGTTTGTAGGAGGGCGGCTGCCACAAGCGAGAGCCGATTACCCGCCCCATCGGCTAGAGTCCAGACCGACTCAAGGTTGACCTTTGTTCTCAACGGCCATTGACAAGCATCGAGATCCAATCTTACGTGTCATCAACAGCCGACATGAGGTCGGCAATGCCACCAGTTCACCTGGTTCGACGCGCTGCCTTGAGTACTTGGGCAGGCCGATCATTTTAGAAGTGTTCAGCGGTGTACGGATACGCATGGTGGCTGCCACAAGGTCTGATGATCAAGCCTCTTAGCGTGCCATACAAACGTCTTGTCCTCGTGTTTGGACCCCTTCTCCCGCTATGTGGTGGACGAGCAGCGCGTTCACTGTTCTCATCGCGAATCAGGCCAAAACGCTTTCGATCGTGGCTTGTTGTACGTTGTTCAAGATATCTGAATGGTTGGGAAACACCGCCAAGAAAACACCGCCAAGAAAACACCGCCAAGAAAACACCGCCAAGAACATGTCAGTTTGCCGTTGATTTGATTCACTCTGCGACGAACAACAACCGACATTGCAAGCTGAGAACAGCCAGCTCGCGCAGAATGTTATATCTACAATGCGACGCCGGTTCTAAATCCATCTTTTCTCATTATCCATCTCATCTGATTATTCATCCTCGAGCCAAGACTCTTCTCAGCAGCCCACACTAGTTGCATCGTTTCCTGGCAGACTCCGATCAAGATGGCATCAGCTCAGGAGCATGATGGTCAAGTGACACTCGGAGTTGAGCTCGAGTTCCTTGCGACCATGCCTTGGTCCACGGAGGACATCTGGAAGATCCCAGAGGAGAAGGTTCTGTGGAACAGGACACATGCTCGTCATGCGCTGAGCCAAGATTTGGCCAACGCTGGGCTTCCTACGGTCACCATTTGCCGCCATTCGGGCCACAAAGCTGAGCACTGCTGCGTCTGCCAGCACAACAACAAAGGTAAGTCTTCACAGCAAGGCAGTCGCCAGGTCGGCCTCTACCTCCCACAAGGTACTAACATCGACCCGCAGAATGCATCCATGTTAGAGGCTGATTTCAACACTGTGGATGAAGAGATCCTCGGAGCCCGCGACTTGTTTGGCAAAGACTGGCAGGGCTTAGAAATTGCGAGTGCTGTCTTCACTTCTCAGACCATGGCCAAGATTCTGCCCGTCTTTGATGTGATCAACACCAGGGACCATGTCATCAACGACAGCTGTGGCATGCACATTCATGCTGGTTTTACAGACGGTCTTTCCCATTTAGAGGCCAAGAAAATTGTCACCGTGGTTGCCTTGGTCGAAGGCTGCTTTATTAGGCAGATTTTGCCAGCGGATCGTCTTGATTCGCTGTTCATCGACACAATTTCCACAGAGTCCAATCTGAGCTCTGAGGCGCACCGTGCAGCCTTGTTCGAGGGTGCGCAGGCTGCTTCATCATCTTCAATTCCCGTGACGGACGAGATGCGAGCCCATTTGCCGCAAGTTGTGCTTGAGATGCGAAAGAAGGGATGGAACAAGAACATTGGCCACCTTCAACTCAAGAACTTGATCAAGAGTATCTGGAACACGAACAACATGTACGAGCTTGCTCGCGGCATCCTCATCAAAGGCGGCAACATGCGCGGCGGTGCTGCCATTTGCCTCCGTCTGCCACACAAGAGAGTGATTCTGCGCAACCCTCTTCGTGATGATATTCCATACAAGACCCCGTCTTCGATCGAGTTTCGCTACCCGCCCATGAAGGCTGACAAGGACCACTTCAAGCTGTGGATTGAACTCGTCGAGACAATCATGCATTTCGGTAAGATGACTGACACGGTCTACTCTCAACGCCTTGGCCGTCTTGTTAGTGTTCTGAATGGATGTTCTGCCATCGGGCAGTCATGGACGCATGTTCTTGGTGAGCTTGGCTTAGGCGAGCGCATCGAGGCTTGGAAGGCACACAAGCGCGGCGATCATTAACGTTTGCAGTTTTTCAGTATGTCATTTTGTTACGGTCCCATAGAGGTAGGTTGCTGGTATTGTCGCGATTCATTTCTTGCTAGGTTCATGTGACTCTCTATGAAGATTGACTAAAACAGGCCGGTGCAAACCAGTATCCGTCCTAAGCCACGAAATACATGAAATCATTTTCATATCCTCGACACCCATGTTGAGGGTCGCATCCCGTTTTCTTTCAACGTTCCATTTTCCACCTCTCTCGTTGTCAAGATAGACAGACATGCAAAGTTCTTCATAGACAATGGAATGCAATCAAGTCATCTGCCGGCATGCATCGGTGCGTACATCTCGTCATCTTTCTGATAGCAAATTGAAGACATGCAGGGTTCTTCGTAGACAAAGCAATGCAGTCAACTCGTCTGCTGGTACGTATCGGTGCGTACACTTCTACCTCTCCTGAAAGCACACTGAAGATACAAAGGCAGATGTGCAAGAACGAGCCAAGGAAATTTCCATAAACAAAAGCCAGAAAATTTTCGTGATCCAATGAAAGGAGATGCGGTAATTTTTCCGTCAGCATCAGACGCCATCCGTGGCAGCGGCCAGCTTGGCAGCCTTGCGTCGCTGCCTCTCCGCCTTCCTCTCAGCTTTGGTACTCGCGGGGCTAGGATGAAGGGAGCCACGTGCTGGGCTCTTGATGTGTGCACCAGCCTCCATTGTGTTCGGTGTAGATGCAGCAGGCTCAGTGACGGCCTGGGACAGACAAGCCTCCGCCATGTCGTCAGCCTTATTATGCTTGCTCTTCTTCTTCTTTTGCTTCTTCTCCTTCCTGACCTTAACCGGGGGCTCTGGGTCGTTGGGATACAACCTGAAGTCGTCGCCACTTTCGTCAGTCGTGTAATATTTCGGAAAGGACGAGTGGAATTCGATGTCGGCTGGACTGTTGTTGGTCGGTTTTGGTGTCGCTGCGCGGTTGGCCTTGCCTCGATGCAACGTTGGGGACCAGTCGGGCGCCGAGTACGACTCATGGAGGTACGGCTCAGACAAGCTCAGGCTTCGGAGCTGCTGTTTCTCGAGGTCGCCACCACCGGCATTGACATGGGCAGCTTCGATAAGCTCGTCGAGCGATGGCAGATCGTCATCCTCAGCCTCAGAGCTGCCATCCTGTTCCATGTCGGCTTGCTCGTTGAAGCGGACTTCCTCTTCGGATTCGTCAGCAGATGATTCTTCGCTGACAGCATCGATCATCTCGGTGCCAGCTAGCTCAGGCAAGAACAACGGTCCAGGTGCCTCAAGATTTGTTTCCTTTGGGATCAGCACGGTCACATTGTGATGCGGCTCGTCATTCTCTGTGTCATCCATGTTCATGACAGTGCAGCTGCGGGGTGACAGTGCATTCGAAACCTCTCGACCGCGGCGAGACCTCTTCAGATCCTTGGCCAGCTTGCGTCGAGCGCGGAGGAGAGTGGCGAGGCGTCTTCCAGATCGCGTCTGAAGCAACTTGCGAACCTTTTGATCAATCTCGCCGAGCAGGAAGCGGCGGGCGATCTTCTTGTGCTCCTGGCAGATGTCCTTGGCAGAACGTCGCTGGGGAGTGGGCTCTGTCGCAATGCTCTTCTGAGGCTCGGGAGAGACTTGCAAGATTTCAACCTGGCCCTCCTGAGCAGCGTCTGAATCGACTTCAACCTTCACTTCTTCCTTCCTCTCGGGCGTCTTCATCTCGGCTTCAGTGATCTCTTCCAAGTCAGAATCAGAGCTCTCCGAGGCCGACGAGATCTCCTGGTAATCGACCTCGTGGCGAGGACTCTCCCTCAACTTCTTTAGGTTCGCCTGGCGATGGTCGGTATTGCCCAGCTCAAGTGGGCGTTTTGGGGATGAACGCAGTGGCGTCTGAAACTTAGATCGCTGCGAAAGACTTGGTGCGGTCTTGGTGACAGATTGAGCAAAGTTGAGCTTCCGTTCGACAGTGTTTGACATCTTCTTGGCCTGAGAGCTGCCATTGCTATTGTTTGGGTTCGCCGTTTGCTTCTGAGAGCCAGACACAGGAAGGGGAACAGGAGTTTCGGCTCGCTTCCTGTATGGGGCAGCATCAATGATCTCTCCCGCATATGCCCAATTTATGGGCGACCTGGGGTTTTGTATGGGGTTGAATCGAACATGCTTAGTGTCCTTTTGCGTGGGGGTCTGATGCAAGGGAACGGGAGTCTTCTGTGCGGCAGACGCTGGTGGCGAGACTTCCATGATTCCGTCGCTTCCTAGGTTTTCACTTTGCGATGCGGTGACGCCGTTTCTTGGCTGTGCCGTCTTCCTGCCGCGGGCCTTGAGCCAGCCGTCGTTCGCGAATCGTATGTTCCTGTGACGTTCCATCAGCTCTTTGCAAGGAGCAAAGTTCTCCAGCTTCTCGACATCCCAGACACAGCAAGCGATGCTCAGCGCTATTGGGGCGGTTTGTTCTTTCAACCACCTGCCGAGGTTGGAGGACGATGGGGTGTTGTTGGTTTCGCCCTTGCTCTGCAGCTTGAGGAAGCTTTCGCGGCAAACAATCTTTTCTTTATCGGTGAGAACATCCCAGTGGGTTTGCATCCACTGCTGGACCTTTTTGCTCTTGCCAAGCCAGAATGAGGAGTTACTTGGCCTACACATCCAATCCTTTGGTTCAGCTGGCTCGACCAAGGCGGCGAAGCCTGGTGAAGACATGATTGACAGGGTGGAAGGCTCAGTCAAGGTTGCTTGAGTGGATTTTGTAAGATGGGGTTTGCGATCTGCTTACACTGAGGCAGCAACGGGTGTTGTGGAGTGAGTTTGTGTTTGTTGCAGATGCTTGCTCACAACCAAGACTGCTTGACCAGCAAGCGCGCGTGGTGTGACTGATTGGCAACGAAAAGAATGAAGGCACCTTCGAGCCCGAATTCGAGCCGAGGTGATGAAATACTCGGTTTGTAGAGAAATGAGTACGTGATAGGTGATGTGGGCAGTGTAATTTTTCATGAAGTGGCTTGAAGAAGGAAAGAGAAACGATGGGGGAAGAAGAAGGAAAGGTGGGAGAGATAGCCACAATTCACTCAAGCAGCCTATCTCAAAAGTGAAGCCGTTCTGATCTTGCTTTCAATTCAAAAAAACCCATTCAATTCTATCCCTCACCTTGCGATCGTCCCAACTAGGCGTGGTGAGCGCTGCGTACAGCGACTGGACTTCCCGCACTAAGGCTGAAAGTTGTGCGAGCTGCACAGCTGAACCCCCAAAAACCTTTACGCTTTAGTGCTCCTCCCCTCTTGAGTGCTCATATCAGTGAAGATGAGGGTTCTCGTGCCCATGTGAGCACTGTTGATCAGATGCCATGGTACGTAATGACACTAAGCCTGGGCCAGGGCCATAGTGAGGGTGAGAGGCTGGGGCCTCAAATCTCTCGTCTCTTTAGATGTGTGATCTGAACAATATTCAAAGTTATTGATGTGAGCAGAACAATAGCAATTTCGGAGGGGAGAATGCCCTTGAAGCCCCTGATCTTGTGGGCCACGTGCTACACAAAGTCTTCCATCTAATTTACAGGTGGCTCAATTATATAGACTACATCACCTGGCTTTGAGTTTCAATTTACGCCTATTCCATTCCCTAAAAGCCGTCTCTGCTTACTTCTAGCAGTGCTGAGAGCCTCCTGGGCCTATGGTTACACTGTGGATAGTCCTGCTCAAAAGTAAGCCCATTGAATAGGGCTGACCGCCCTTCTATCTCAATTCTGTCACTGCACCCATGGTTTGGTATTATTTTATCATCGAGTGCAATACTATTTCACTGATGAATAGCTGTCCTAAGTAAATATAGTGTCCTCTGGCACGCCCCTAGGCTGGGTCTAAACACGATAGGTGTAGGCCAGCACCTACATTTACTTTTACAAGATTCCCAATCAGCTTTTCATGCCAGCAAGTCCAGAACCTTTCCACACTATCGAATAGTGAATTATTTTTGCTGTCTCTTTATTTCAAATGTATATCAGAGTGTAGGCACAGGTAAAAAGCTGAACAATTTTGTGGAACCAACTAGACAGCGTGAACCCATGGAGACACGAACCAAATAGTAGAAGCCGAGCGCCGCCAATCCCAAAACGTCAAGTCTAACGTCGGCAGCCTCCCGGGTTTTTGATATGCGGATTGATTACGCCCGAGGACGTGTTTTGAAGAAACGATGACCTAGGGTCATTGAATAGTGGACGCGCTAAGCCCAATGTCTCACACTAGAAACGTCCGCGTCATGGATAGCTTCGTCTACGTCAGAATCATTGATCGAGATCATACACCCGCGCGTCCTGCGCACAACATCTACGTATTTAACTAATTCCCAGTCGATTCTTACTGTGTCATAGACGTTCCACATTAGTCGGGTGATTATATACGGCCGCATTTACCTCATTCTCATATGCTTACAAGTCTCGCCTTGGTACTTTCCATCAATCTATCTCTCACAGCCTCACCATGGCGCCCGCAGCAGTTGAGACTTCTTTCACGGCCCACGTGGCTGAGAGGTTCCGCACCTACGAAGCCGACCGAAAGGCCTCATCCAAAGAGTGCGTCTACACTACCTCCAACGGCGTCCCCGTGCCCCATCCATACGAAGCTCAGCGTCTGGGCAACGGGCCCCTCCTGCTACAGGATTTCCACCTCGTTGATCTCCTCTCGCACTTTGACCGTGAGCGTATTCCCGAGCGCGTTGTCCATGCCAAAGGCAGCGGTGCGCATGGCGAGTTCGTCGTGACGGACCCATGCCCTGACCTGTGTCTGGCCGACTTATTCCAGGAAAAGGGCAACAAATGCTCCATCACCATCAGATTCTCGACTGTCGGTGGCGAGAGTGGTTCGCATGATTTGGCGCGAGACCCAAGAGGGTTTTCTGTCAAGTTCAGGACCAACGAGGGCAACTGGGATATGGTGGCCAACAACACACCTGTTTTCTTCCTGAGAGACCCTGCCAAATTCCCCTTCTTCAGTGAGTCCCAATGATTCCCGAAATATCGCTTGTCACTAACGTGGTAGTCCACACCCAAAAGCGCGACCCAGCCACTCACCTCACCCATGCTGACGACTCGACACATTTCTGGGAGTACTTGTCGCAGAATCCCGAGTCTATCCATCAGGTCATGGTCCTCTTCGGCGATCGCGGTATCCCAAAGGGATATCGCTTCATGAACGGGTATTCCGGTCATACGATGAAGCTCGTCAACAAGGATGGCGATTGGGTCTACTGTCAGTTCCACATGAAATCGATGCAGGGCATCGACTTCGTTACCCAAGAGGAGTCCGCCAACTACTCCCCCGACTACTCGCAAAAGGATCTCTACGAGGCAATTCAAAAGGGCGACTACCCCAAGTGGACACTGGAAGTGCAGACCATGACCCCCAAGCAAGCGGAGGAGTTGTGGGAGACGCAAAAGATAAACGTCTTTGACCTGACGCACATTTGGCCTCAAGGACAGTTCCCTCGTCGCAAGATCGGCGAATTGACACTTAATGAGAACGCGGTCAATTACTTTGCCGAGGTTGAGCAAGTCGCATTCAATCCTGCTCACATGGTCCCTGGCATCGAGCCCTCAGCCGACCCGGTGCTGCAGTCGAGACTGTTCTCGTACCCTGATACCCATCGCCACCGCATCGGCGTCAATTATCAGCAGCTTCCCGTGAACGCGCCGCGAACTTCCTATATGCACGCAAATTTTCAGAGGGATGGTTCTATGGCCTTCTTCAACCAGGGAGCCAGGCCGAACTACCTGTCTTCCATCGATCCAGTCCAGTTCGAGCCCCGGGCCGTGGACTTGGACAAGACGCATGGACACTTTACGGGCGAGGCTGTGACGTTCCTCAGCCAGATCCGGCCCGAGGACTTTAACGCCCCTCGCGCGCTATGGCAAAATGTGTTTGATAAGCCGGCAAGAGAGCGCTTCATCAACAACGTGTCGGGCAAGATGGCGTCGTGCCCGGACAAGGAGATTCTCAAGCGCCAGATCGCCATCTTCCGCGAAGTTGACGATGACATTGCCAAGCGACTGGAGAAGGCGACGGGCATTCAGGGGTACGACGGCATCAAGAACATGAAGTTCAACGGAACGCACAATGGCATGGCGACGGATGACAAGGTCAAGCACGCTAACGGCATCAATGTCAGCAAATGCACTAGCATGACGGAGGATAATGGGGCACCGCGCAAGGGAATGCACAATATGAGTGGTAAATGTGGAAACAGTCATTAATGACAAGGGGATAATGAAGTACATGTAGTTATTTATTCAAAATGAAACGGTGATCAATTATGTTCATGTTATTCCAATGAACACCAAAGTAATTACGCAGGCAGCGTTGCACACAAAGCTGTTGACAAAACCACCCACCTACGGGTAGTTTGCAAGGCAAGGCAACAAGCAGGCAAATCAACCATCTAAAAAAGCGCCTAGATCGAGCGTTTTCCTTCATTTATAAGACCTGTGCATTCTGCTTCAACTATATTTGACATCATCAGGACCAGTCGCGTTGAGAGTCTCGGCCAAGTACACTCGTTGGGGTTTCTAGGGTAGCCAAAAGGTCTGTTTCACGAAAAAAATCGACAAGTCGCAACTTGCTGTTGTCCAAGTATCTTGAATCGTTTTATCAGACCGGCGAAACCCATCTCCAATCCTCTCCCTTGAACTGGAGGCAGCATTATGCATGTAAGCCTAACTGAAGGGCTTCCTCTTTCGTCGCGGAAGATGAAAAGGGCCACCAGCACGAAGAACTGGCGCCAGAAAGTCGGGGACTTGGCCTAACCCCCGCAGACGCGAGCTTGGCATCTCTGACAGATCATCCGAGACCTCGACAGCTGCATATCCTGGGGGAGGAGACCCCGATTATGCGCCTTCCACGAGGCTGGCACCGTGAGACGAATGGTGAGTTGGTGACCCGACTCTCACGTGTCGCTGACATTCGCCAGCAACATAGGCGCAGACCACAGCAACGGCAATATGGTCAACAATGGCGGTCCCGCCAGCGTCCAGCCGCGAACGGGTGCAGTTCCCCAGCAGCAGCAGCCCACTCCCCCCGAGGCGAGCAACACCAAGAAGCGCAAGGTGAGTGAGGACGCGACAAATGCGACGACGGCACGGAACGAACTGTCAGCGCCGCCGCCACCCATCCACACGCGAACCATGGCAGCTTGTGATGCGTGCCGGGTGAGCAAGACGCGTTGCGATGCTGCAAGGCCCGTGTGCGCAAAGTGTCTCAAGCGTGGCCGCAATTGCGTGTATCCAGACCGAGACCCGACATCCATGTACGTAGCCCACCAAGACAGGACGACCCCGAGGACGCTAAACGTACGTCAGGTTCGAGACATGGGGCAAGAAGATCCTGAGTGCTTTGGAGAATCAAAGCCAGTTACTCTCCGAGGTCGCCCAGAGCACGGCACGCAACATTCACCTCCAGCAGCATCAGCATCAACAATCACCCCAATCATCACACCACCCACCAGCCATGAACGACGATGACCCGGAGAACATGTCCCGGAAAGACGTTCCCTGGACACCTATCACGGGATCTGACAAGATTCTGGACTGGATCGTATTCCCAAGAGAAAGACCGGCGCAAACATTGCCGCCATCAGCATTCGTCGCCAAGCCTAATCACTGGGCACTGGAAACAGCGAGCCCGTCAGTTGCGCGCATATACGAACTTCGCGACATCTTCTTCTCTCAGGTGGAACCCAAATGTCCGCTCGTGGACGTCGAAGACCTGGATGCCTACATTGCTGAGGTGATTGAGCATGGCTTCGCATGGACTTCGTCGTCCTGCCTCGTCCTCATCGTATTTGCTTTGGCCGCTATTTGGGGCCACTATCCAGATGATGAGCGGCGGTTGCTGATTTCGAACAGCGCAACAGAGGGTTACACGGCTGCTGTGCCGGAGCATCGAATGCGGGAATCGTCCATCTATCTCGGCATGGCGCAGAGGCGCTTGTCAGCCGCGTCGCAAGACGAGTCCCTCGTCGGAGCACTGTGTTATTTGCTTTACGGGTAGGTTACTTTCGATCCCATCTAGGTCGTCAGCTGATCGTCCAGAAATTGGCTCCAGTACAACTTTGAACCTATCCAGGCCTGGAAGATGTTCCGCACCGCGTCGACATTGTGGGAAACATACAACCTGAAATGTGCGCATGGAAGGGTGCAGAAGCCAAAACGAGAGGCGAGTACGTCAGCCCTGCCAGTATGTCAAATACGGGTGCATTATTAATGGAATATACAGGCCTTGAAGCACGGTGTTACTGGACCTGCCTGAAATCCGAGTAGTGAGTGCTGCAGCATCAGCGTCAAGGTCGATCAGCAGCTAACAGAGGCAGTGAAATGCGTTACGAAATACCCGATCTACCCCCATGCTCTCTACAAGAATCACCGTCGATCCCTTTCTCTAGCTCGCCGTTCAGCGAGGGCGTCCCCAACGGCTCTGAACACCTCCTCCACAACGAGTCTCCGGGGAGTGGCTACGGCATCAACTTCACACCATCTTCTCACTACTACTTTCTTGCCGAAATATCCCTTCGACGGCTACTGAACAGGGCGCGCCATGCAGCCACCATGCTCTCCCCGAGCATAGACTCTATCACCGCCGCACGTGTGGCCGACATCATGCACCAGCTCGAGGGGCAGCTCCAGAAATGGCTAGAGTGTCTCCCTCCCGCATTGCGCTTCAACGTGCCGCCCGACTCGTGGCCGGCGCCGGACGAGCCGGAGCTAGTCAAGCTCATGCGAGAACGCTATGTCGAGGTTCGCGAGCTGCTGTATCGGGTGTTTCTCTACATTTGCCTGCATGGCGGGACCCGCCTTACCCATGCCCAAGCCAAGATGTATGGTGCAAAGGCGTCAGCTGGTCTGCGGCTTAGCATATACCGAATCAACACCGAAAGGCCGTTCTACCGCCATGCCGGGTCGTGGATCGCATGCCGAGTCCGTTTCAACCAGGCCCTGTGTCTGTTGGCGGCGGTCAGAGGGTTGGAGATGGCGATCGAGTCGGCCGCATATGTTGCAGTGCCTCCCACGTGGCGCGAGTGCGTGTGCATGGTGCGCGAGCGACTCGAGACGTGGAGTGATCAAGGCGGCGGCGTTGGGGAGCTCGCTTTGCTGCTGGGGTGGCTGTTGAAGTAGGAGAATACTGGACAAGGTGTCAATGAGGGGCCGCTGCCTAGCCATGGCTTTCGATCTCATGACTTCGGTGAGCATACAGGAGAGCCTCGGTTTATTGGCCGACGTCGGACCATGCGAGGCTTGTGGTAACAGCAGTACCCTCCGTGCATCACGAGGCTTGGCTGATGTACTGGGACGTGCGTACGATTGGCGTAGTGCCCCGAACAATGCGATGAGGATCCCCGCATGCAAACCTCCGTCGGGGCCATGTCGAAGTCTGGGGTCAGATCACGACCCACCTCTTGAGCGCCTCCGGCGGAGGCTCCCCGATCAGCTTCAAGACTCCACTGGCAGTCGTGTCGATTTGTCAATCAATGGCAACAAATCTGGGGTCTGGCGCCACTGATCCGGAATAGCTGCGAGTAAGGATCTGTATAAAAGGATGCACATTGCCCTGTGCCATTTATCCAGATCCTACACGAGCGCCGAGACAGCAAGCGCGCTGCGACAGCTTAACAATCGCAACAGACTCAACATGTCTTCAATCGACGAACTTCTCAAGCACCAATCATTCAAGACCTTGACCCCGGATCAAGTGTCCTCATTCATGACTCGTGGCTTTTTACGCCTGCCGGGAGCCATCCCACTCGAGAACTGCGATCGCTGGATGAAAGACCTGTGGCCCCGTCTGGGAATGGACCCAGATGACATGTCCACTTGGACAATGGGGTGGAACACCATTTCCAAGCTCAACGTAGCTCCGGCCGCCGAGCTTGCCCCGACAGCCTGGGCCGCCATCTGCGAGCTCTGCGGAGGGGAGGGGAGGATTGCTAAGGGTGGCGAGATGTGGACGGATGGATTGATTGTGAACCTAGGTAGTGCCGAGAACGAAGGGAAGATGGTCGACCTCAAGGATCTGACCAGTTGGCATGTGAATGGTAACTGTCACCCTTCTTGCCCGTCATCTCGAAGAAGTGTCGCCAGGAGAATTCTATACTATTGAGTTGAAGAAGTTCGGGTCGATATCCAGCCGGTCATCTCGGGGGCCCATCTTTGGATTTAGCCCTTCTAGGTGGTCATACTGCGAATGGTTAGCCATGATGGCTTCGGAGACGTGACGCACACAGATATTACCAGCAATTTTCCAATGAGCTTGGGCCCTTCGGTGCAAATGACCGTCGCCCCGGCGTTCTCCTCGACATCAGACCAGCGTGGGATCACAAGGAGCGCCTGCTCAGGGCTGCCGAGGAAGTGCGTGAAGAAGTTGTTGTCCTCGTGCATCCCCTGATGCTACATAGCGCCAGCAAGAACAGCAGACGCCTTGCTCGTTCGTACGTCCCTTTGTTATGAACAAGCACAAAAGCTGACACAGCACAGAGGTTATCACAAATCCACCCGTCTCGCTGGCGGCACCGTTCCAATTCAACCGCAAGGACCCGTCCGAGTACAGTCTCGTTGAGCTCAAGACCATGCAGGACGTCGGTGGGCCTGAAAAGTTCAGAGACTGGAAGATCATCGGCGAAAGGGAGATGTTTGCCTCGGAGCGGGTTCAGGGCCAGGAAACGCGCAGAAAGGAGGAAAATGCCCGTCTGGCGAAGCTTGGGCTGGAGACGGGCGATGACTCGATCAGTCAAATGCCATATCTGATGGTAGCTCAAGCCAAAAGGCAAGCCGGCGTTGTCTGATAGGACAACGTCAAGGAGTCTAGTTTTATGGCAGTGAACATAGGCAGACGAGCTTGTTAGATTATGATGGGGCTACACGACTACTAAGCCTCAATGTGCAACGGAATTACTTTAATACCTGGTCTTGTGTCAAGGGAAGTCCAACGAGAAGGGTATAAGTTCACCTCTCCAAGGAGGATTTGATTAATTGAAAGGTCTCACTAATTATCCGCATATGTAGCAATATTCAGTCTACAGCATCCAACAACTTGCACTCTTGCAGGGTGCCGTGGTGTTGCACTCCTTGCATTTGGCGCCTAAGCTTCCCAGCTCCAACTGACGCTTCGTTGTGAACCACTGACAGGCTTCACTGCCCGCCACTTTGAGTCCGCGTTTACGCTTCCACTCGCCGCAAGCAATGGCCTCGACGCGGTGCCCATCCTTACCAGGGTACTGGTGACGGGAGGCGCCGGCATGAAACCACCGCTTACCACCCTGCATGCAACACTTGTCGCCTTGGATGCAGGTGCAGAGGCGAGTGTAGAGAATGTGCATGCACATGGCTGCGGCGGCTTTGTGGTTTCAAGTGTGAAGTGTAAGACCGGGTGGCGTCGATATGTTCTTCTCCAGCAAGAAACGACCGAAATGACGGGTATGGTACTGTTTGATGAGGATGATGAGCTGGATTAATGAAGACCGAAGACGAGGTCTAAAGTATCATCAGAGGACATGGTGTTCTTCGTTCTGGTCACAACAGCCAGCGTTCCCATGGGTGTTGGTACAGACATGTTCGTTGCGCCAATTGCTGCTCGTCCTAGATATATATACAGAAAATCAAATCTTGAAAGGATACTTCAGTTTTTGTTAGGGGCTGGAACGCAGCCTGTTCTATGATATGGGCTCACAAAGTGCAGAACAAGGATCGAAGGAGAACAGACGCGAACAATGCCACCGACAGAGCTCTTCTTTTGAACGACGATAGGCAATATGCGCAAAACGAGAATCATTGAGGAGAAATTGTGCAGCTCCTTCGGTGGAGCTGCTTTGCTAAACAAGACGATTGATTCTCACGATATGTGCCGAGCCTGCCCGGGCGTTACCCAGTGCCTCGCTAGAGATCGACCATCCACGGTTCCAGACTCTTTTGGATGGCTATCGAATGATATCGCGTCCTTCTCAATCACAAGGACTCCCAGAGCGAGCAACTGACAGGAGTGTAATACAGTGGCGGACGCTCTGCATCCGAATACTCGATCGACCTATCCAGCTGCCCGCTTCGCAGTGACCAATCTGATCGACTTACCCTGGAAGTACGATTGACCCCGACTGTGTCTTGTGCTGCGGCTACCCAACTCATAAGTGCTGTCTACGTGATGAGTTTGATGTTGCTAATTCTTGCAATTGAAGGAGAATTGTTTCGCACATGCAGTACACTGAGGTCCAAAACGAGTGTCCGCTTTCCCGTAATACAATGGATCACAAGAACGGCTATTTCTGGACGCAGCGGAGCCCTACAGTGCGCACAGGGGTAGACCACACGAGCGCCGGGTAGCGAGACAATTGGTAAGCTGCCCCCTGTGTTTCGCTGCTATACTCACTCCTATAAAGCCTAATCCCACTCCTCTGAAACACATATCTTCATGCTAGGGTTCAAAACTGCTCTTAGCTCGATTGTTCTATATTTCTATTATTCTCATCTATCGACACCTAAGCGCCAGCCTTAATATTAGATCTATCCTAGGTGGTGCGCTCGGTGGGTTTGCTCGCTTCACTATTCCTGCGATACTGCCTAGAAATATCAATGTCTTCCCTCTCGGCGTCGATTACCAACGTCGGCTTGTGTTATTACTTATAGTAACATCATAATTGGCCGCTCCATACGCACCCGTAAGCGCCGCGTAACCGATGCCTGATGGCCCCAAGTGTCAGAAACGGAACACTGAGAAAAGTGAAGAGATGCACAATCGTTTGCGATAGCTGTTTCGTCGCTGCGAGTACGCAGCTAGGACGCTTAAAGGTAGGGGCACGCGGCGACTGTATTAATCTCTGAGGAACTCTGTGTGCTAGCTAGCCCGCGCACAGGAGTATTGGTCAGTCCTACCCAGTCAGCGCGTCGGGCGCTGCCTGTCACGCGCCTAGGCCCTGCACGCTTAGTCATAGCTAGACTACGCGCGCCCCCGATCCGCGGCGCGTCCAACCACTTTGACTGACGCCCGGCTCACTTTGTGCTGTGCCTGACACCAAGGCTCCGAGCCACAGGAAAGCGGGGCTGACAATTGGCGCCTTACCCCTCCCCACCCTGAGCGTTTGGGAATCAAGGCAAACACTAAGGCGAACAGCAAGGCAAACTACAAATCAAGGCTACTCTCAAAGATTGTTTTCGCTCTGCAGTGCAGGCATATCTGGAATCCAGACCTGCAATATCTAAATTGGCATTCGTCATTCTACAATTTCCAGCGAAACCTCCCTCCATCAACCAGATTTGACCTGCTGACAGCGGATCGCGGGCCGCCCCGTGCTCATCCGGTCAGAAGCCCACCATGGAAGTCGCGGCAGCTACGGTCGGCTTTATTTCCCTCGGCATCCAAGTTGTGAAGCCTCTCCTGGACTTTTATTCCGCATACAAGTCTCGAGAAAACGAAGTCAACGCCACGACTAAAAAGCTAGAGGATCTTCTGGGCGTGCTCGAGGCTCTGAACACTCATCTAGCGAACCGCAAGTTCCGTCCTGACGAACGACACTTGCTTCAGAGAATAGAAAGATCGATCCAATACTGCGGATGCTGTATTAGAGAGTTGGAAGGCGAGAGCGAGAAGTTCAAAGGAGAGTCCAAGGTCGGCATACGGGCCGGCGCCCGGACAGCTGCACACCGAGTCGCGTACCCTTTCCGACAGAGCACGCTACAAAAGCTTGAAGAAGATATCGATGAGATCTTCTCACAGCTATCTATCGTATTGCAGCTGTTAGAATTGGACGGTATCAGTCACGTTCAAGATGACGTCGAGGATACCAAAGCATTGCTAGAACTAGTCCGGGCTGACCAGGTCTCGTCGAACATTCGAGAGTGGCTGAAGGCGCCTGATGTGACCAGCGATTACAACAAAGCCCGCGTCAAAGGGTGTCCTAGCACTGGACTCTGGTTCGTGAAAGGACTCTCCTTCTCTGCTTGGCTCACCAACCGCCACTCCTTCCTGTGGCTCAATGGTTTCGCCGGGTGCGGCAAATCTGTGTTATGTTCTACAGCTATACTGTACGCTTATCGGCATCAGAGGTCAAACCCACGCATCGGAATCGCATTCTTCTTTTTCACCTTCGACGACAGCTCAAAGAAGGATGCCTCCGCTATGCTCCGCGCACTTGTTTTGCAGCTGTCATGCCAGCTCAAGGATAACTACGGCCACCTCTCGCGCTTGCATGGGAGTTATCGCAACGCGACGCCGCCTGACCAAGCTCTTTTCGACTGCTTGCGTCAGCTCGTGCGGGCGTTTGACGACGTATACATCCTCATAGATGCGTTAGACGAAAGTCCCCGAAATACTCACAGGGAGGGCGTGCTCCAGGCTCTAACTAATCTTCGGGCATGGATGGAGCCTGGACTCCATATTCTCGTCACAAGTCGCGACGAGACTGACATTCGCGATGAACTCGATACCGAAGAGCACGAGAATATCCCCCTAGAGAACGAATCTGTGGACCGTGACATTGCAGCGTTTATCTCAAAACATCTTAGGGATAACCGACAGCTTCGAACATGGGAAAACCACTTTGACTACATAGAGACCGCGCTCACGAAGCGTGCCAAAGGCGTGTACGGCTTCCAAGCCCTCACTTTTTTTTGATTATTACTAAATTCATAGGTTTCGCTGGGTGGAATGCCAGTTCGTGGCGCTGAAGTCTTGTCCTAGAAGCAAACGTTCACTTGATAGGTTGCTAACCTCGTTGCCTAGATCCCTGGGTGAAACGTACGAACGAATGCTATTGAATATCGACGCACACTCTGTGGAGGACGCAAGACGGATCCTCAACTTACTTTGTTGCGCCAAGAGGCCGTTAACGGTGCCCGAACTCATTGAAGGGATTGCAGTAGAACTAGGGGACAATCCCAAACTCAACCTCGATGGCAGACTGCCCGATGAGGACGAAATTCGTCGCATTTGCCCTAGACTGATCAAGCTCGACCTAGATTCCCGTTCTAACGATGCCACCGTACGAATTGCACACTTTTCGGTCCAGGAATACCTAGAATTCGAAGGAATCAACGATACTGTCGCAACTTTTCGGGTAAGAAGATCGGAAGCTCACGCCGAAATAGCTTCTATCTGTCTCACCTACTTGTTGGAACCACCTGTCTCGGTACTTGAGCATTCAACAAATTATCCACTTGCACTATACGCCGCACAAAGCTGGCACGAACACTACCGCAATGCAGAAAGAGCCCTGTATCAAGTCGAAGCTCAGGCACAGCGCCTGTTTCAGAATACGCAAGGCGTATTTCAGAAATGGGTTCGAATCTGGAATGTCGATAATCCTTTCGACATTAAGGCAAAAAAGGTGCCGTCACCCCTCTACTATGCTTCGCTTCTTGGGGTAGAATCGGCGGTTTCAGTACTGCTTCTCGACAAGGGCGCCGACGTGAACGCACAAGGCGGACGCTACGGCAACGCTTTACAAGCGGCGTCAGAAGGAGGCCACGAGGCGATCGTGCAGCTACTTCTCGACAAGGGCGCCGACGTTAACGCACAAGGCGGACTCTTCGGTAACGCTTTATAAGCGGCGTCATTAGGAGGCCACAAGGCAATAATACAGCTATTTCTCGACAAGGGCGCCGACATGAATGCACAAGGCGGACACTTCGGTAACGCTTTACAAGCGGCGTCATTAGGAGGCCATAAGACGATCGTGCAGCTACT